GGGGTAAGCCTTACTTTTTTGATGAAATTTGGCCAAAAAATGTTTTTCCTCCAAACTATGCAGAAATACCTTTCAAGGCAAGAGGAGTATCAATCAATATTCAAACACCCAATATATTGAAGATTTGAACACAAATCTTCGATTTTTAGAGGAAAAAAATCATTATATTTGACTGATTTCACCCCAAATTTTCGTCGAAATTTCAATTGAAAAGCACATCTGTCCAGAAATTGCGTTGGAATGTGTTCTAGGGTCCTATTGGCATCTTTCCAGCAAGTTTGAAGCATTTTCATTTTTTGACCAAAATTGAAAAAAATACAAGGGGTAAGCCTTACTTTTTTGATGAAATTTGGCCAAAAAATGTTTTTCCTCCAAACTATGCAGAAAAACCTTTCAAGGCAAGAGGAGCATCAATCAATATTCAAACACCCAATATATTGAAGATTTGGACACAAATCTTCAATTTTTAGAGGAAAAACAATCAGGGGCGCATTGCTAGCGGTCGCCCCTAGAGGTAGAACGTCCTCTAGGGGCGACCGCTAGCAGTAAAAGGTCCTCTTGGGGCGACGGCTAGCTGTCGCCCTTAGAGGAAGAAGGTCCTGCAGGGTCGACCGCTAGCGGTCGCCCCTAGAGGAAGCACGTCCTCCAGGGGCGACTGCCAGCGGTCGCCCCTAGAGGAAGCACGTCCTCCAGGGGCGACTGCTAGCGGTCGCCCCTAGGGGTAGAACGTCCTCCAGGGGCGACCGTTAGCGGTCGCCCCTAGAGGTAGAACGTCATCCGTCTTACTTTTTTTGATGAAATGTGGCAAAAATAAGTTTTTTGTCCAAACTATGCAGAAATACCTTTGGAATGTGTTTTAGGGTCCTATAGGCATCTTTCCAGCCAGTTTGAAGCAATTTCATTTTTTGACCAAAATTGAAAAAAATACAAGGGGTAAGCCTTACTTTTTTGATGAAATTTGGCCAAAAAATGTTTTTCCTCCAAACTATGCAGAAATACCTTTAAAGGCTAGAGGAGCATCAATCCAAATTCAAACACCCAATATATTGAAGATTTGGACACAAATCTTCGATTTTTAGAGGAAAAAAAAAAAATCATTATTTTTGACTGATTTCACCCCAAATTTTCGTCGAAATTTCAATTTGAAAAGCACATCTGTCCAGAAATTGCATTGGAAGGTGTTCTAGGGTCCTATAGGCATCTTTCCAGCCAGTTTGAAGCAATTTCATTTTTTGACCAAAATTGAAAAAAACACAAGTGGTAAGCCTTACTTTTTTGATGAAATTTGGCCAAAAAATGTTTTTCCTCCAATTTATGCAGAAATACCTTTCAAGGCAAGAGGAGTATCAATCAATATTCAAACACCCAATATATTGAAGATTTGAACACAAATCTTCGATTTTTAGAGGAAAAAATCATGATATTTGACTGATTTCACCCCAAATTTTCGTCGAAAGTTCAATTGAAAAGCACATCTGTCCAGAAATTGCATTGGAAGGTGTTCTAGGGTCCTATAGGCATCTTTCCAGCCAGTTTGAAGCAATTTCATTTTTTGACCAAAATTGAAAAAAACACAAGGGGTAAGCCTTACTTTTTTGATGAAATTTGGCCAAAAAATGTTTTTCCTCCAAACTATGCAGAAATACCTTTCAAGGCAAGAGGAGTATCAATCAATATTCAAACACCCAATATATTGAAGATTTGAACACAAATCTTCGATTTTTAGAGGAAAAAAAAATCATTATTTTTGACTGATTTCACCCCAAATTTTCGTCGAAAGTTCAATTGAAAAGCACATCTGTCCAGAAATTGCATTGGAAGGTGTTCTTGGGTCCTATAGGCATCTTTCCAGCCAGTTTGAAGCAATTTCATTTTTTGACCAAAATTGAAAAAAACACAAGGGGTAAGCCTTACTTTTTTGATGAAATTTGGCCAAAAAATGTTTTTCCTCCAAACTATGCAGAAATACCTTTCAAGGCAAGAGGAGTATCAATCAATATTCAAACACCCAATATATTGAAGATTTGAACACAAATCTTCGATTTTTAGAGGAAAAAAATCATTATATTTGACTGATTTCACCCCAAATTTTCGTCGAAATTTCAATTGAAAAGCACATCTGTCCAGAAATTGCGTTGGAATGTGTTCTAGGGTCCTATAGGCATCTTTCCAGCAAGTTTGAAGCATTTTCATTTTTTGACCAAAATTGAAAAAAATACAAGGGGTAAGCCTTACTTTTTTGATGAAATTTGGCCAAAAAATGTTTTTCCTCCAAACTATGCAGAAAAACCTTTCAAGGCAAGAGGAGCATCAATCAATATTCAAACACCCAATATATTGAAGATTTGGACACAAATCTTCAATTTTTAGAGGAAAAACAATCAGGGGCGCATTGCTAGCGGTCGCCCCTAGAGGTAGAACGTCCTCTAGGGGCGACCGCTAGCGGTAAAAGGTCCTATAGGGGCGACGGCTAGCTGTCGCCCTTAGAGGAAGAAGGTCCTGCAGGGGCGACCGCTAGCGGTCGCCCCTAGAGGAAGCACGTCCTCCAGGGGCAACTGCCAGCGGTCGCCCCTAGAGGAAGCACGTCCTCCAGGGGCGACTGCTAGCGGTCGCCCCTAGGGGTAGAACGTCCTCCAGGGGCGACCGTTAGCGGTCGCCCCTAGAGGTAGAACGTCATCCGTCTTACTTTTTTTGATGAAATGTGGCAAAAATAAGTTTTTTGTCCAAACTATGCAGAAATACCTTTGGAATGTGTTCTAGGGCCCTATAGGCATCTTTCCAGCCAGTTTGAAGCAATTTCATTTTTTGACCAAAATTGAGTAAGCCTTACTTTTTTGATGAAATTTGGCCAAAAAATGTTTTTCCTCCAAACTATGCAGAAATACCTTTAAAGGCTAGAGGAGCATCAATCCAAATTCAAACACCCAATATATTGAAGATTTGGACACAAATCTTCGATTTTTAGAGAAAAAAAAAATCATTATTTTTGACTGATTTCACCCCAAATTTTCGTCGAAATTTCAATTTGAAAAGCACATCTGTCCAGAAATTGCATTGGAATGTGTTCTAGGGTCCTATAGGCATCTTTCCAGCCAGTTTGAAGCAATTTCATTTTTTGACCAAAATTTAAAAAAAAACACAAGGGGTAAGCCTTACTTTTTTGATGAAATTTGGCCAAAAATGTTTTTCCTCCAAACTATGCAGAAATACCTTTCAAGGCAAGAGGAGTATCAATCAATATTCAAACACCCAATATATTGAAGATTTGAACACAAATCTTCGATTTTTAGAGGAAAAAAATCATTATATTTGACTGATTTCACCCCAAATTTTCGTCGAAATTTCAATTTGAAAAGCACATCTGTCCAGAAATTGCGTTGGAATGTGTTCTAGGGTCCTTTAAGCATCTTTCCAGCCAATTTGAAGCAATTTCATTTTTTGACCAAAATTGAAAAAAAATACAAGGGTTAAGCCTTACTTTTTTGATGAAATTTGGCCAAAAAATGTTTTTCCTCCAACTATGCAGAAATACCTTTCAAGGCAAGAGGAGCATCAATCAATATTCAAACACCCAATATTTTGAAGATTTGGACACAAATCTTCAATTTTTAGAGGAAAAACAATCAGGGGCGCATTGCTAGCGGTCGCCCCTAGAGGTAGAACGTCCTCTAGGGGCGACCGCTAGCGGTAAAAGGTTCTCTAGGGGCGACGGCTAGCTGTCGCCCTTAGAGGAAGAAGGTCCTCCAGGGGCGACCGCTAGCGGTCGCCCCTAGAGGAAGCACGTCCTCCAGGGGCGACTGCTAGCGGTCGCCCCTAGGGGTAGAACGTCCTCCAGGGGCGACCGTTAGCGGTCGCCCCTAGGTCGCCCCTAGATTTGGACACAAATCTTCAATTTTTAGAGGAAAAACAATCAGGAGCGCATTGCTAGCAGTCGCCCCTAGAGGTAGAACGTCCTCTAGGGGCGACCGCTAGCGGTAAAAGGTTCTCTAGGGGCGACGGCTAGCTGTCGCCCTTAGAGGAAGAAGGTCCTCCAGGGGCGACCGCTAGCGGTCGCCCCTAGAGGTAGAACGTCCTCCGTCTTACTTTTTTGATGAAATTTGGCAAAAATAAGCTTTTTGTCCCAACTATGCAGAAATATCTTTGGAATGTGTTCTAGGGTCCTATTGGCATCTTTGCAGCCAGTTTGAAGCAATTTCATTTTTTGACCAAAATTGAAAAAAAACAAGGGGTAAGCCTTACTTTTTTGATGAAATTTGGCCAAAAAATGTTTTTCCTCCAAACTATGCAGAAATACCTTTCAAGGCAAGAGGAGCATTAATCAATATTCAAACACCCAATATATTGAAGATTTGGACAAACATCTTCGATTTTTAGAGGAAAAAAATCAGGGGCGCATTGTTAGCCGTCGCCCCTAGAGGTAGAATGTCCTCCAGGGGCGACCGCTAGCGGTTAGTCGCCCCCAGAGGTAGAACGTCCTCCGTCTTACATTTTTGATGAAATTTGGCAAAAATAAGTTTTTTGTCCAAACTATGCAGAAATACCTTTAAAGGCAAGAGGAGCATCAATCAATATTCAATGGTCGCCCCTAGAGGTACTGATGGCGATACAAACATGAATATTCATGACTACCTTCCTCTAGGGGCGATCGTTATTGCCAAGTTTTTTTTTCATATAATAGCTTAACACTGAGCCCGATTGCCTGAATTTTGTATTCATTATTTCTTTCCACTTGTTAATTTGTTTGTTAGAGGGGATTCAAAACGGGGTCAGAAGGGTCGAAACTGATTGGTTTACAACTTCGAATTTTCGATTTTCAAATAAACCTGATATATGGGGCTGTTTTTTAATAACATGCATTATTAGCCCCTTGCCATCTTGAACTTATAGAGAAATAATCAAATTTCCAAGGAGTTTAACAATTACAGGTTCGAATTCCCAACAATGACAGAATGACATCATCACAAAATAGCTATACAAGAACACACAGTGAGACGTTCAAGTTCATTTACAAATCCCCGCTACTTTTTTATTATGCTAATTTCAAAAGTTAAAGATTGCTTCCATTGTTTTTTTAAGCATGCTGTGGATGTACATTTCCAATTACACGTTTAGATTAAATACAAATTCGCTTATTACACATTATTCATTTTTGAATTACAGTCACAATGTCAAAGTTTATCAACTAAAGACCATAATCAATCAACACGATGCTTTTACTAAATAAACAATAACAGTAATAATACAAATTAACATAAAAGTGGGGCTGACTACGAATGTATAATAAAAAATATATTTCTTCATTCAGGTGGTTATGTTTCGCTTTCTTTTTCTTCTTCCAAAAAGCAACATTATAGCTGTGCATGCACAGCGGCGCAACTAGGCTTAACCTTCGGGGGGTGGGGCACCAAGTTTTTTCAAGGGGGCCACTGGAGGCAACCGATACATTGTTTTTTGTGCAATTCAAGATTATAAATGGGGGCGGGGGGGGGGGAACCTAGACTGGTTACCTATCTCCCCGACTGTCACTTGTGTATTAGACTGGCTGCCTATCTCCCTGACTGACTGCCACTTTCTGAATTAAACTGGTTACCTATCTCCCTGACTGACTGTCACTTGTGAAGTAGACTGGTTACCTGTCTCACTGACTGAATGTCACTTGTGAAGTAGACTGGTTACCTATCTCACTGACTGACTATCACTTGTGAATTAGACTGGCTACCTATCTCACTGACTGACTGTCACTTATGAATTGGACTGGTTACCTATCTCACTGACTGACCGTCACTGATGTTATGTAGTTTGGTTTGGGGACAGCCTCAAGGAGCTTGCCTATCTCATGTATGCCAGGCAGCAACTGCACCACACATGCATTAGTCCGGCTCCGCTTATTTCATGGACTTTCATGATACACGTTAAGTCAAGTCTCCATAAAAACAAAGTGGATTTTGTGTTTCCATTACGTTACCACCACCGCATACTCTACAAAGTTTTCAGCCGTTCCGAATCAATTGAATAGAATTTTGTGCAATAGGGGACCAGCATTTCAAGGCTGGCATTGTCTCGTATATTACCTTCAGTAATTTCTCAGACTTGGTCACAATTAACCTATTGCTGTTTGCGAGTTAGCCACGCCCCTTAGACAACCCTATGGAAGTTTGTACGTTAAGTTTGTTTGTCTCAGATTTTGCGCGTTCGGCGTCCATTTGTATATCATGTAATTGGACAATATTTCACAAGCTGCATTTACGCGATTCTACCTTGATAGGTTAATTTATACATGAACAAAAATAACAACAATGCTGAACTTGAAACAACTAATACTTCCAGAAACTCTGAAAACCTGCAGATGACAATGACGAACCATCAACTTTTACAAGCAAAGTACTTTTTCTGGTAATAAATATCGGTGTGAAGTATTAAGACATAAAAAATAGTCCGTTTTGGTATTAAGTCTACTGTACATTATAATATACATGCATGTAAATATCGTTTAAAATATATTTCATTTACAGTTATAAAAAAAAAGACAGAATTTTTTTTTTTTACAGTTTTTACTTCTAATACTAAATTTCAAAAATGTCAGTACACCATTTCTTGTTTTTTCTGTGTAGGGTATTTCAAAATATTTTGCCTTTGTCGACAACTGAGCAAAAGAACGTGTCTTAAATGTTTGCTGTCAAAAAAAAATAATTTCCTTGATTCTGCTTAGCTGACAAAAAAAAACCACACCAAAATTCGCTTTCGACTAATTTTCAAATAAAAAAAACGAGTAAAACTTTTTGAAAGTAATTTTGAGGTTAATTAAAACTAAAAATTAAAAAATGAAGTCTTAACAGACTTAAACATTTGGAGAAAAATAGGTAAGCAATGAAATAGCTCATTATAAAAAAAGATGTAAAGATGTCACATTTTGGCTTGTTAAAAATAAGAGATTTTGTAACAAATAGGTCTATGAAACAGCGCAGGCAATTTTTTTATGAATTTTCTTTGCTTATACGCTATCCTAAAAAAACAAATTCATTTAATTTTCATTAAAACATTAATGTTCCATAAGTTAACTTGAAGGAGACATATTTCAAACCATACTGAATTCAGCTAGAATATTTGAGATGAGCGGGGAAATAATGCTGAATACTTGGGTAAATGCTGTTTAAAATTGCAGCGTTGTATGTTTAAATTATCAAAGTAAATGTCTTTAATGTAATTTGTCGTAATTATCTTCAGAACACAATGCAACAGTTTCACCCAAATGTCATGCGTGAAGGCAAGAAATACTTTTAGCTGGCTCAAAAAGTCTGGATGGAATGATGTTTTAAGATTGATATAAATTCTGAATAGCACACTAAAGTACAACTCTCAAGGTTTTCAATTAAGATTTAATCAAGGTGATTGTTCTTTTCTGAAAATGAATACAATTTGGTCCTAAAAAAAAGCTTTTCATCTGGTTGATATATTAGTACTCAAGTGATCTCAAGTCCTAATTGTACTTGGCACTTTCAACGAGCACCCAAGTACACTAAGCACTTAAACATAGCGCTTCAACTTCCCAAATGTAATAAGTATCCCTCTGTGAGATTCAGTGCTTAAGAGAATTAAGTTCTTTTATAACTAGTACTTTTATGAAGAGTACTACTAAGTACTTTTAAAACTAGTACTTTTTTTTAATAATACCCTAAATTCATTATTTCATATTCATCTCTTAATGCAAAATAACATCAAAGTTATCAATAATATTATTGTATCATCTAATCCCGAAGTTATCAATAACATTATTGTATCATCTAATCCAGAACCCACAAATATCAAGTATTATTAAAGCTTAAGTACTAAATACCATAACTGGTACTTTACACTTTGCCAAACCAAGCTTTTCCCAAATAGGCTTTAGTTTACAGCTAGGCCCTCGACATGGGGGGACACTGACTTAAGGCAGGTTCATACCCGGTGAGAAAGCGAGTGCGAATTTGTTACACCACGGCAAGTTTTTGCGCTTTTAATTCGCAAATTTTGCACAATTCAACTCCGCATTCTTCTTCTTGTTCGGCCAAATTCTTTTTCAGAGAATATCAAATATCCAGTATGCTTCTTGAGGTCAAATTTAGAGGAGATCTATTTTGGGTGGCCAATAACCCATTAGGCTGTGCTACATTGTATCACATTGTATCACATTGCATCACATTGTATTACATTGTATCACATTGTATTACAGTGTATCACATTGTATTACACTGTATTTTCTCCTTGATGAATCTATGAAAACCATAGAGCACTGGGGCGGTTTGGAGTGGGATAGGAACTAATGGTTTAGAGGTTTCAAAAGGATCCTTCGAGATGAATCCAAAGCTGGGGGCTAGCCACTGTTTGGTAAACACTCCCCATTCAACAGCGGTGTACACATTGACACTCATATTCCGTCACTCATTCATCTTCGCAGTCACACTACATGGTTAGTATTCTCGTCTTCGTGAGCCTTGTTAGCGTTCGTAGCCACAGCTGGCGAACAAGCCACAGTTTGCTAAACAGTCATTAAACACAAGTGTACACACACAGACACCCGCACTCTACCACTCATCCATCTTCGCAGTCACACTACATGGTTAGAGTTCTTGGCCCCGTCAGCCTTGCTAGTGTTCGTATTCTGTGCGGCGTTACTGTTACTGTTTCCGTTCAGATCCTCCATCTCCGTATCCTCGTTCAGCTTAGGATCTTCCTCCAAGCCCTTGATGACCAGGTAACGTCTCACCACCTTATCCCAGTCGAGGACCTCTTCGATCCGGTTTGGTCCGTTCCCGTTACCTGCCCGCAAGAAGCCACCTAATAGAACAAGCAAAGAAACAAAAGAACAGACTGATAAACCCACAGAGCTATATTAAATTACTAGAGAGCTAACTGAGTGCACAATGCAGTGTGCTGCACATTTTCTACAGCTATTTGCATATCTGATCTGATACACCGTGCCCTCTGGAGACGTGTGTACAATATCGAACAAAAGATTGTATACGTCTCCACAGGGCAAACTCTATAGATGAATACGTCTCCACAAGGTTTTCATGAAATAGATATATGGATTTTACTCAAAAACTAGGAATTTCCAAGCTATGTTGATGTGTCGCAAATGGAAGAGTTTTAGAAAAGGGATATTAAGTCCAAATTTCAGCCAAGGAAATTAATTCTGGTTAAAATAAGAGCATTTTTAAACTACACTTTCAAAATCGAAAACTTTAGTAAACGAGAACAAAGGAATGTCTCCACAGGGATACAAATTCCAGTGTGTCTGTGTTTGTATTTGAAACCAATGTGTAAGCGAAGGCGACATGCAAAAAAACTGAAACGTAACGCTAGTAAGTGAACATTTCATCTCGCTGTTTGCCCACGATGCAACTGTGAATGCAAATACATGATTTTTTTTTTCAGACTCATGACATCGTGTGTGTGTACAGTACGTACGACGTGCAGCCGCATTTGTAATACTCTCGTGTCACATTTAGAGCTCACACACCGGTATCAATTCACTCTATGATAGCACACATTGACTTGACTACCTTCCGAGACGGTGCACATAAATGGTCGTGGTTTAGTATGGTACTACCAGCAACCTCACCTGCAATTTGGGTGATTCACAATGCAATGCGCCACCAAGACTTTGCCATGGAGAGTTCATTTTTCCCAGTGCATTGTGGGAGATGGTCGACAAATTTGCAGCGCAGGACGTTTGAAATTGTTCGTTTTTCCAGTCAGTAGTTTCGTAAGCGTATGATTCAAGTATCTGTTTGCCCTTTTCTTTTCTTTTTATCAATATGGTGTTTTTTGCAAGGCGGCAGAACGCTATGCCCCAATCTGTAACAAATTGGATCAAGTTGTCTACTGACACTCATTCAGATGGGCAGTGTTTTGTCGACCGTAAACTTGAACTAGAACGGCGAAGCCGCCATGGCTCGCTGTCCAAAGCAGGAAGGGAGGCTGAAGGTAGGGTTGGGGATGGGCATGATGGAAGGGGATCAGGATTCTTGTTGATGTGCCTAGGTGTAGGGGTCAGTTTTTAAATGTCAACATAAAAAGTTAACAGATTACCTAATAAATACATATGTATATAGGTTTGCCGTCACTGTATTATGGGGGAGTTTTCCATTGTTAGGGTAATTAGGACCCAGTTGTGGATTTTTGCAGCCCCAACAGTGTCTTCTGGTCCCCATACTTGTATTACCATGGGAAAACTCTTGTGTAGTCGCCACAAATGCATAACAAGAATGGGTATACATGTACATGTAGACACAGCACCATCACCACCTCCCCCAAACCTTACCCCATCCCAAAACCTTACCCCATCCCCAACCCGCCCCCTCCCCCTCCCCCACCCAACCCCCTACCCACACCCATTCCATCCTCCCCTAACCATCCCCACCCTATCACCTACACATCCCAACCCCACCCAAACTCCAATCCCTATCTCCTTCCCCCTCCCCTGACCCATACCCTCCTTTACCCTACCCCAACCCCCTACACCCACCTACCCTATCTTCCTTTATCTGTCCTTACCCACCCTACACATCCCCATCCTAACCCTTACTCGACTTCCAATATCCCGCCCACCCCATTCCCCCACCCATACATCCCCACCTGACCCCATGTAACCCCTACTCTGATCCCTATATACTGCCCCCTCCCCTTGTCCAACCCCTACAACAACCCATCCCTACCCATCCCTACACATCCCCAACCCAACCCCTACTCCGATCCTATATCCCGCCCCCTGCCCAACCCCCTCCTAACCCAACCCCTACATCCATGCCCATCCTCTCCCTACCTGTCTCTCCCTACCTGTCTCTCCCTACCTGTTCCCACCCCACCCCTACAAATCCCCGCCCCATCCATCCTAGCTCCCCTACTCATCCTACTCACACAAACCCTAACTCCAACCCTATCCCCCAACCCACCCCACCCTCCCCTACCCCATCCCTACTCCAACCCCATAAACTAAAATATCAAACCAGAAGCTCATGCACATCCCCAAAATGCATAGTGTTCCTGCATGGCATTACGCCTGAGGACAGACAACAAAAGGAGCACAAAGGGGCCATTGATCCTCGAAGGAAGTTGCCTATTGTCCTCGAACGCAGGTTTGTGTGCTTAGTCTATGGGAGAGTGTTATATTACAGGGACAAAGGAAAACACAAAGCCAATCCTCGGAAGCATAGCAAAAAACGACTGTGTGTACATGTACATGTTATACCGGTATACACACACGTACATGTGTACATGTACATGTAACAATTAAAAACTTTAACATTTCCTTGAATTAAAATTCCTCAATAAAATCATAAAATTTACTGCAATGATATGAACCTAACTGAAGTTATAAAGATGTACATGACAACTGCATTTAAACTTTTTTCCCCAAGTTTAACTAGAACCAAAAACTTCAACATTTTTATCTGAACACGGACGGACGTTCTAGCCAGACGGACTTGTGGGGTGATAGCATTGTGTTCCCATTATCCCTTTTTCTAAAGATTCCCTTCTGGGGTGATGTTTTTCTATTGTGAAAAAAGTGGGGTGATGTGTCCTGAAAGGAACATCACCCCACAAGGGTGGTATGGTCAGAACGGCCGTTCTAGCCAGACGGACGGCCGTTCTAGCCAGACGGACTTGTGGGGTGATAGCATTGTGTTCCCATTATCCCTTTTTCTAAAGATTCCCTTCTGGGGTGATGTTTTTCTATTGTGAAAAAAGTGGGGTGATGTGTCCTGAAAGGAACATCACCCCACAAGGGTGGTATGGTCAGAACGGCCGTTCTAGCCAGACGGACGGCCGTTCTAGCCAGACGGACTTGTGGGGTGATAGCATTGTGTTCCCATTATCCCTTTTTCTAAAGATTCCCTTCTGGGGTGATGTTTTTCCATTGTGTAAAAAGTGGGGTGATGTGTTCTGAAAGGAACATCACCCCACAAGGGTGGTCTGGTCAGAACGGCCGGACGGACGGACGGACGTTCCAGCCAGACGGAATTGTGGGGTGATAGCATTGTGTTCCCATTATCCCTTTTTCTAAAGATTCCCTTCTGGGGTGATGTTTTTCCATTGTGTAAAAAGTGGGGTGATGTGTCCTGAAAGGAACATCACCCCACAAGGGTGGTCTGGTCAGAACGGACATACGGGCGCCCGGACAGACGGACGGAAATTGGTATTACATAGGCTCGCATCTGCTTCGCAGCTCGCCAAAAATGGACTCTCCATGACAAACTCTTGGTGGCGCACTGCATTGTGAATCGCCCGAATTGCAACCTGTAGCATGGTTGGACCGAAGTCTAGGAGTTAATCTTTGGATAGGTCTTCTCTATTACTACCCACCAGTTGGGAGACAGTGGGTGTGTCAGGCGTGTTCACGTGCAGGGGAGGTATTTTTTTCCCCAGATGCATTGAAAAATGATTCAATGAAAGAGTTGTGTTTGGCTCCTACGGCTCTTCATTCAACATAGCAAAAATTGCCCAGAGTATTCCTGAAAAATTTGGAAGTTGGAGTTTTGTGGTTCAACTTACCATCAGGTGCAACCTGGGTGTTGCGACGGACGACATTTCTGAGCCAGTGGGTGTGATGCCCAAACAGATCGACGGATCTAGCGTCGGATATGGCATCCATCTCTTCGTTCTCATTGATGTAGTCTCTGGCTTGGGCGCTACACACCTTACCTAAAATGTGCAAATCAGCGTACAAAGTTGTCAGGCCACAGACAGTTTTAACTTTGTAGAGTAGCTATTTCATGACTAATTGTGAGCAGATATTTTTGTTCGATGTCTCATTTTTATAAAAACTAGAAAAACTAAGTGATCCGCGGATCGCGTGTGTCCCCTTTTTGCTACATGTTTTTTGTTCTTAAAAAAAGGTCAAATTTTGTGTATTTTTAAACGACAACCTCAAATGACCCCTAGATGACCTTTGACCTGTTATGAACCCCAACCCAATGATCACTCCATCCAAGTTACATTAAAATCCATGAGATTCTGTAGACAAAGAAACATTTGAAGCATATTTGAACAATGACCTCTTATGACCCCTACATGACCTTTGACCTCAGTAATCCGATGAAGAACTGTGTCTTCCCACCCAGGGGTCACTGCAGCCAAATTTAATCGAAATCCATGTAAGCATGTTGAAGTTATACATTTTTTTTCTCAAAAACTTAACCGAAACTTTAACATACATAGGGGTCTACAGGGCTACGGTCATACAGCATGTAAGACTGGTAAGTGTCTCTAAGCGACACAATCAACAGTTATAAAATAGATTTTTCAGTGAGAAACTTAAACAATTAGGAGGAGAGCAACTTCATGCACAACTACAGCTCTTTCTCATTGTGGGGTCAGTCTCATCCTAAGAGAACAGAAATTGAGTAATAAAGACACCGTTGAAAATTTAAGTTTGCCAGGCCTCGTGGAAGTGAATATCTCGTATTTTAGAGAAGCAGAGAAACGTTGCTGCTTTTATGGACTTTATTTTATGGACTTTTATGGACTTTATTGTCTCTTTTGATTGACATAACTGAATACGAACCCTTGTGTTTGTAGGCTGCCTTGCAGTACATGACCAGCTTGGTGATGAGGTTGAGAGGGGCCGGAGTGGCTGATGACTTGTTCATCTGACGGATCAGCTTAGCTCGGCCAAACTTCCACTCCGTGTCGGACTGTGCCTGGATGCGTTGGTAGGTGTCGCTCATCATCGCAATGAGGAGATTGATGAGCACAATGAGGGTGACGATCAGATATGTGCCATAGACAAACTTGACGAGGACCAATGTGAAGGGGGGACTGCGGACCGTACTGGGCAGATCGCCGGGTTCCACGAGTCCAAAGAGGGAGAAGAAGAGAATGACAAATGTATCGATCGGGGTTTGGATGGTGTCAGTGCTGTTACTGGTTGCATCTGTCAGTGGGTAGACCGGCTGGTAGACGGCGGAGAGGTGCAGCATGAAACCGACAAGGAAAATGAGAAGGATGACCATGAACCGGACCAGGTCTTTCATGAGGTCACGGATGATGATCGCCCAGGGGCCGAAGAGGTGGTGGAAGGAGAGAAACTCTAGTAGACTGGTGAAGGTGAACAGCAAACACCAGGCGAAGAATTGGTTGCGAGCGTAGATCATGTAGAGTCGGGTGTCGCCTTCGAACGGGATGGCCACGACATGCATGATACAGGCTACGGAGGAGAATGCAAGAGTGACGACGCGGATCCAACCCAGACCCTGCCGGTCGCCGGGATTGGTGATCTCTGAAACTAAGAGCCCAGTCAACCAGACGAGCAACAGCCACTCGTACCAGGTCGGTATCAGCGATCTGGTTCGGATGAACTCCTCGATGAACGGCGTGATCACCGTTGTCAGGCACAGTAAGACGATGAGATAGATGTGAGACACCAAGTAACCCATGAACTTGATGATGGGGAGTTTGTTGAAGCGATACTTGAGAGGCAAAGACAGCATGACCCACACCGGGGCAAGATGATGAAGATGATGAACAGGAGGAAGATCTGCCAAGGAGCCCAGGTCAGGTTCCCCATCCAGAGATCGGAGAGGTACCGTTGAACTGACGGATGCGCCACCACCTCCTTATCCTCGCATTCGATCAGAATGTCCAGGAACGTGATGCCTCGGCTGTCTACCGATCGCAGCAAGTGACCCGCACTGCTCGTGCTCGCAGACACCGACAGTAGATCCACCGCCATGCACTCGCAGAATGCACTCGCTTCGGTCAGGTCACGGGCCCGTTCCTTCTCGCGGGCCGACTGCAGGCGAAAGTTCTTGGAGAGTTTGGCTGCTGTGTCGATGGGCGCCGGTGATCGAAGGATGAACTCCTGGATGGACTCATTGTTGTTGTAACGACCACAGACCATCAAATCAAAGACAAACTGTGGATCAAACAAAATAATAATAATAACATAAATAGAGGTGACGTGGAGCAGAACGAAAATGGACTGCAGGGAAACCTTCTCCAACACAAGATGTCACGTTGCCGTGATGTTTTTGGGTCAATGTCAATTAAAAATAATATGCTCTTATATAATCAGAGATTTTCGAACACTTAAAGGTATTCACTAGCTACACGGGTGGAATTCGAACCCATGCTTTCCAGCTTACAGGAACAGATGCCTACATGGCTACGTCGCTGGGAATTGAACCCATGCTTTCCAGTTTACTGGTTCCGAGGTCTTACCAACATTCTTTATTTCACATTTTATCATCTTTCTCTCCTTCATGAGGTGTTGTGTGTTGTGATCTTTCTTCATCAGGTAGACACTGGCTACATGACTGAGATGTGAACCCGTGCTTTCCAGTTTACTGGTTCAGAGGTCTTACCAACCTTCTTCATCTCACATCTTCTTACCTTTCTATCCTCCATGAGGTGTTGTGTGTTGTGATCTTTCTTCATCAGGTAGCTGAGTACGGCAAGATGATTGGCCATCGCTGCGTAGCAAATGGCTACTTTCCCATCCTGGTAAAATAAATAATGACAAAAATATAACAAATCAAACCAAAATACAAAAATTCTGAAGATTATGAATTGAAGATTATGAAGATTATGGAGATAAATTAATGGACTTTATAAGTGATGTTGGTCTCTTGGTGATACAACAAAAACACGGATACATAAACAGGTTTCAATTCTGTTTGGACTGTTGGTTGGATGGTTGGTCTGCTCAGTTGATAGAGCACTGGAAGTGCAATCCTGATGGTCTGGGGTTCGAGTCCAGCAATTGCACAACTCATCAAAACTTGTCATCACATAAAAAGGCTTACCTTGGTCTCAAACTTCGGAGAGGCTCCGCTCTCTACCAAGAGGGTGACGACATTCAGGAAACCGGCTTTGGCAGCGAAATGGAGTGGTGTCCAACCATTCTTCAAGGGATTAAAAAGAATATCTGTAAGTTTACTGTACAACAAGTGGTCCACGGACCGCATGTTTTGCCTTTTTCCGCGGGCGAACCCCAAGAACTGTATCACTGCATCCATGCTGCATCCAAAATTCAGCAAAATCCACAAAAGCATGTGGAAGTTGGACATGTTTTTTAAAAAACTTAACCTCAACTTTATCACTCTAAGGGCAATTATGGCGTAGTGGAAGAAAAAGTAATGTCAGTGATAGAGCCAATGAACCACATCTAAATAATGATTCAGAGAAATAATCCAAACTCTGATCTCCTTGACCATTACTAGATGTTGGATGCATAAGATTTGAAAAATACATTTTCAGGTGTATTTACTGACAATGTCTGATTTGTAAGGTCCGTGACACAGGAATTATTCATAACATTTTATACATTTGGTTTCTCTGTCATGTCTAGCTTTTTTTTTCTTTCTTTTTCAAACCGACCTTATCAAATGCGTTGATGTCCGAGCCTTGTCCGAGCAGTAATGACACCATGTCGTAGTGTCCGTTGGCCGCGGCTAGGTGGAGCCCTGTGCGCCCTCGCTTGTCCTTGACGTGCAGCTGCGTGGTTGATTTGCTGAGGAGGAGGCCCACGACGGCTGTGTGGCCGCTTTGGGAGGCAAGGTGGAGCGGTATTGTGCCCTGGAAATAAAACAAAATTGGAATTTAGGAAATATTTGAAGTATTTGAAGCTACGGAGTTGAAGTTTGAGACCTATTCTGCCTATTTGTAGTTTCCCTATCACCACATGTCTTAAGCCATGTGATGTCATGGAAAGTATTCGCGCTGCAAATTCGTAGTTGAACATATTTCAACTCCAGCGAATTCCATAGCGAATGTTTCATGACGTCAAATTCGCTTTGCATTCGCATGAAGTATGAACCAGGTTTTATCATATTTTCGTCTGCCCAGACATAGTACCTGATAATTATATAATATTGGATGGCTTTAAGGGGGATACAAGCATACCGGTGTAACAATATTTGAATCGTGCAAATTTTTGTTGATGAAGAACAGTGCGTACCCCGCACATGAGTCGTACCGTATGCTACGCTCTGTTGACTGGTTCACAACTGTGAGTTTCTACGCTCTTTATTGAGCGGGAACCAGCGAAATGCGCGTCGATACCGTAAAATGCTGACGTTCATACCGTAAAACTGACGTTCAACGAATGGAAATCCTGTATTTCAATTGACAGTCACGACCACTCCAGTAGTTGTGCATTATACGAAAAGAGTTTTACATCGTGTACATATAGGCTACACATTACTTGTTATAGGCTACAGCAGGTCAACAGTTGGGCCGCAGCTTCTGAGATCATTTCAAGCTTGTTTAAAGCTATAGTCCATCATTTGCAGCCATCCGAAAAGTAACTGGCGGAATTATTGTTGAAAAACAAACTTGGTTGAAAGATAGTAAGGGGACTAAAGTCCCTGTGAAATTATTCTTTCTGGCAAGCTGTCATTTTGAAGTTATCAACGAAAGAAGGCATTTCCAACGGTGATTCTTAAGAAGCACCATAGGAAAATTTAAATTAGTAGTTCGTTTTGTTATTCAGCGCAGCGCGCACAAGTATTGGAACGACGCACACGCGCGTGCGGTTGTTACAATTCGTCGGATCAGTGCGCGACGTCGCGTATAGCTGAAATTCAAAACAATTCAAAACATGATTCAGTAACTTTTGATTTGAAATTGAAATCTTAGAATGCTGTTTTTCTCGGAATATACAGCTGAAGCTTAGCTGAAACTTCATCAGGTTAGTTGCTCAGTATCCTTCATTAGATTTTGAACTCTTTTGTTGCTTCAAACGAACAAAATGCACAAATTACAAATGATGGACTGTAGCTTTAACAGGCAAAACTCATTAACCCCTCGCATGATTTACTAGGAACCATACCCATCCAGGCAAATTCCAACACCATATGGAAAACTGCACACACATATTTTCGACTGTGATTCTGGAGGTGTGCCAACCCAATGTAAAAGATCGTCAGTATAGGGGTACTGTACCCATCCTGACAGATTCCAACAAAACATGCCGTTGGGGTTTGATGGGTTGAGTACTGTTAGGGTTAATATATCTGCAATATGAGGTGTGCGTATTAACCATTAACATCAACATTTGTAAAAAGATACAGACTGCATGAAAGTTCGATCATGGCCAAATCTTTCTAGAAGGTAACAGGAGAAACAACAAGCAAACGAGGGTCTCACAAGCTAGAACCTGTACTTACCAGTATCTGTGTAGGTAAATCGGGTTGGACACCGGGGAAATTCAGCAGTAATCTAACAAGTCCTTCGTGGCCTGATTGGGAGGCGAGATGAAGCGGCGTCAGGCCATGCTAAAATTGAAACAAATAAATATGAAGAGGTTTACCAAATGTCAGGACAGCTCTAGTACTGGGCCCAATTTCACGGCGCTGCTTAACAGTTAGCAGAAAAGTTGTGCTTAGCATAGCAGAAAAATATGCTAAACCTTAAGCACTATTTCACGGCGTGGACGTGCTAACGGTCGCGCATGCATGGAGATTTCTATTGTTACGTCACTAAGTTAAGCAAATGTTTCCTCTGAGGTAAGCGTACCTTTTGCTGTGCTTATGCTTACGGTCTCCATGAAATAGACGGAGGCTCTGTTAGCAGAAAATCGTGTGCTTAGCAGCGCCGTGAAAATGGGCCCAGGTCATTAACCTTCCTAGTGGGAAGTCAATATTCAGAGCAATATGTTAAAAACCCTTTAACCTTAACACCTTGAGCACTTTTACTAGAAAGTATCCCGAGTCCCCAAAAATTCTTATAAAGTCTTATAATTTTGACATACATCAGGGATGGAAATCAGGGATGGAACACATATTTCTGATCACTTACACTAAACACTGAACTGTTCAGATCAATGAAGACGAACTTACGTCCTGGATAGAGATCTCCTTGAGATCCCCCGGCATGGAGGCCGGCGTCTCGCTCCGGACGGTCGCCGGTACTTTGGTCAGCATCTCCCGCACAAAGTCACTCTGTCCGTAGTGAGCGGCGATGTGTAACGCCGTCAGTCCGGTCTTGACGCTGGGGGCTTTCCACGAGACCTTGCCCTTCAGAGCTTCCAGGACTGTCACGTTCCCGTTCTTGGCAGCCAGGTGGATAGCTGTCATACCGTCCTAAAAATCGCAAAAATCTAAAATACTCAAAACCATACTCCAACGTTCAATCTACTACTCTAGCCACCTTTTTGAAGTATACATTATTCTTAAAGGGAATATACAACATTTGCAAACATCGAAAAATAAAACTATCAAGTTTTTACAAAATACCTTACTAGGATGCTGGTAAATGACAGTCTAAAGCATCCTGTAAAATTATGGCACACGGTGTGAAGTCATTTTCAAGAAAATGGTATTTTTGTATACATTTCCTACGGTGGTCGGCCGACCACCGTTGGAAAAACCTAACTATTTTTCAACTTCTGCTCCAAATTTACCATTTTTTACAGTCCAAATTTTGTTTGCTATTTGTTACACGGTCATGAACGGGTGCAGGCCAGCTGCACTGGTTCCCATACCTTACAATTTTCCGGCATCTACAAATTGATCCATTTTATCCTTAGTGGAGTCAGGGAACCAGACAACTTGAACATTTTTGTTTTTCTTGGTTTTTCCAGCATTTTCGAACACAAAACTTCAAACATGTCAGGGTAACAATATTTGATCTATTGTAGTAACCCCTCAAATAGTTCATTTCTGAAAATTACAGCAAAAGCCAATAATGTACATTCCCTTTGAAGGTAATGTAAAACATTTGCTTCGTTGTAATATTAACAAAATAAACTGTACTGGGGGCAAATATACAAATATAACATGGTTTGAGGATGGACAGTCCATATTAGCTCCCTGAGGTATTGGAAGTTGAGGCGAAGCCGAGGGAACTAGTTGTCAACTTCCAATACCGAGGGGAGCTAATATCGACTATCCACCCAAAATAAACCTTGTTATATTAGTTTTACTATACCTCATACATATTCAGTTGCCAAATGTTCACGTTGCACTATGCACCTCGAGGGCATAAAATATTTGGAGAAACTTGTCCAGCTCACCAGAAGAATATTGCTTAACCTCAGAAAAGTTAAGTTCTTTTGAAATACAGTACTTCCTAAGAGTTTATACGGCATTGTGGACATCTTATATACAGAAGGCATCGTTATTACCACAATATTCTCAAGTTCAGCATCATTAAGATCAGGAAAATGCTAATGAACATTTACATGTGCCGCCATCTTTTCATATGTACAATGTAGCTAGAGGGGTGTTTGCGCCTGCGTACTACACCTGTGCAACAGTTCCACGATTGCTTCGTAATGCGCATGCGTAGTACACTGTCGCACGGGTAACCCGTGCGACAGTCTACTATGCATGCGTATTTACCCTGTGCGTGAATACTCGCGTGCGCACTTGGTAAACAGCAAAATAGCATCAGGCACGTGATAGTGAATGGACCAGTGAGAATTCAGCTCTCGGTCGTGAATATGTATGAGGTATAGTAAGAATTTATAGCAGACATCGTTCCACTGACCTGTTCAATGTTTTGTGTCCAATGGCGCCAGGAAAACAAGGAAAAGGGCCGTTTATTTCAACATATACATGTATGTAGTGAACATTACATGGTACTTAAAAGCATTCTCCTCACTTGGTGAGGCGCCATTATATAAACATGAAAAAAAAACATGAAAATCTGGGGTAATAATATTACAAATATCACATGGTACTTACAGCGTTCTCCTCAGTTGGTTAGGAACCATTAAATACAAGCATGACAATCTGGGGCAATAGTATGACAAATATCACATGGTACAGCATTTTCCTCAGTTGGTGAGGCCCTATTATATCAGCATGACAATCAGAGGTAATATTATTACAAATATCACATGGTACTTACAGCGTTCTCCTCAGTTGGTTAGGAACCATTAAATACAAGCATGACAATCAGGGGCAACAGTATTACAAATATCACATGGTACAGCATTTTCCTCAGTTGGTGAGGCCCTATTATATCAGCAAGACAATCAGAGGTAATATTATTACAAATATACTTACAGCGTTCTCCTCAGTTGGTGAGGCTCCGTTATCAATCAGGACAGACACCACCTCTCTGTGACCCCCGGCAGCCGCCAGATGCAATGCTGTCGAGTCATTGGTCTACAAGGCAACCAATAAGAAGTCAGATCAGTTAGCAGTGCCAATGGAGTATAGTTCTTTTTACGAGACTAGAGGAATCGAGGTGTGACATAGAATGATTGATTTGAAACTAAATTCTAAACAGAGCCAAGTTTTGAAACTATCTTGTGTTGGAGCGTCATTCAGAATAGCTTCTCAGTTGAAATGGACTCTGTGCACACACAATAGATGGCGCTATCTGACCACTTTTGAAAGCTGAAGTGGGAGGGACACATTGCATCTGCGCTCTTGTGTTACATACATCCCGAGGACAGATACACAAAGAGAGAACAACAGATTCTTTGTCGTCCTCAAACGTAAATCTGCATGCTTAGTCAATAGGAACTTGAAGAGAAAAACCCTTATCTGAAGAGGGTGTTCCTAAAGTGACTTCACAGAAACAGCGCCCTCAGTTGTCAGGAAAAGCATGACACATTTTAAAAGTTTGAAAAAGTGCACTTTGCACATTTTTTTTTTTTACCAAAAAGGGATTTCTCATAATTTGATACATTTCAGAGGAATGGCTATTTGCTACATATATGTTCCAGTGCAAAATCATTTCATGAACCCTTTGTACAAATTGATGATTGAGTGCATTTCAGGTCTTACCTTGTTTTTGGTCGTGCAGACTCCTATTTTGTTGAATCTTAACAGTTCCTTGATGACAGCGACGCTACCCTTGGATGCAGCGATGTGCCCGCATGTGGATCCATCCTATAGATGTAAAAAACCAAAAATATAAAGATGGCAATGAACGGAAAGTTTGCGGTAACACCATGTGAATAATATCTCTTTTGAGTTGTGTGGTTCTGAGAAGAACCAGTTGTTATAACTCGACGTTTTGAACAGTTCGCTCTGTTCGTTATCAGGAGACCGCCGGACTGTTGCTGGTGTAGTTCTTTAAGTAGTGGAGGCTTGGATTTTAAACAAAAAGTAATCCTTTGAATGTACTTTTGTGTTCCATTTAACTTTATTTTGTTATCTTCATATTGCCATTTTAAGGGGGGGGGGGGTTTGGTATCTTTTTGGTAATAAAGATTGCAGTACCCATGAAGTAGCTAATACGTCTGCACTCGTAAGCAGAAAGTCTAGGGTTCGAGTCCCACCCGTACAACTTAATACATTTTTGTAAGCTCTCAGGTAGGATTAATACAATACTTATAAAATTACAGTGATACAGGGCAAAACCTAAAATGAGAAGAGGCATGAGTTCCAGTCACGCAGACGTGTTTGCATTTGTTAGCTAGGCCCTGTCAACCCCAAATGTAACGATAATGTCCTCAAAAATTTGTTGCGAAAATTGCGGCGCCACGTTTGTCAATGCTACAAGTGTCACTGATTCGATAGCAGCTTATAAAATCCTTGAAAATTTACTGTGATTGGAAGCGAAATTTTTTTTTTCTCCAGTAATCTGTGAATTTACTTGGGATGTTGGAAACGGAAAAATTTCAGCCCTGACATAATCATTATGTTCATTGGGTGTATCGGCCATTTTGGAAAACATAGCGAACAACTAATGTTTGCCAACATTGTTGGCAAACAGTCAGTTTGCGCAATTGTTGACATGTTTGCCGAATGTTAGCATTATTCGCGTAAGTGCAACGCAACCTCTGGTTCGCTTCAACTTACCGAGTTGGCCATGGTGACTAGCTCCGGTTTGTGCTTGAGAAACAACTTGACGATGTCCGCATGGTCGTTCTTGGCTGCCAGATGCAACGGGGTCTGCCCATGCTGTGGCAAAATAACAAACAAAAATTGTACTTTAGATAACACAGAGATTCTTCAAATCTTGGAACGAGGCAATGGTATTACACTGGACAGAAAACTGGAAGTTTCACAATCTCAAGCAAGTTTGTTAACAGACATGAGACACGTTTGTTAAATGGGTACTGGTATCGTTCATTCTACAAAGGTCTGTCACAAAAATCCATTCCACATGTCACAAGGCTCAGGGATAAATAATCAAAGGACTTTTCATTCATTCATAACTACAAGAATTACAATGACAATTAATCTTAGGTTGAAAAGAGGAATTGACCAGAGTTGGATCTGAACGTGCAACCTGCGGATTGCCGTTCCGGTGCTGTACCAACTGAGCTATCCAGCCTCCATGTTGGCAGTTCCCCAATTTTGTCAATGTCTTTGTTCAAGGGGTGCTATGGGCTCCATGCGCCAACGAAAGAGGGCACCCTTTTATCTAGCAACGACGTCCCATGGGCGGGACATTTAGCTGGTTGACGCGCACCGTTCCTTGTGTGTGACGCACGTACACCAGGGGATTTGTACTAAGTACACGCAGTGGTACAGCCGCGCGTCGAGGCAAAATTGCTGTCAGGCAAGATAGCGTCAGTCGGTCACTCCCAATTGTACTTTCTTTGCCGGTGAGGGGGGTACTTCTGAATGGAGCAGAAAGTCAGCAGCCACAATCTCGAATGCGCAATGTGGCTTGGAATCATGTCCGAAGGTCACAATGCTAACAACACTAAAAATCTTGCAAATTAGGGGAAAAGGCAATCCGGGACAACGAAGACAGGATACGGAAAACTGGAGTTTTAATAATAAAATTGTTCCCAAATTCCTATTAAAATTCCTGACAAAAAAATAATAAAATATACACAGTTAATGTCATGCCATGCTGGGCATTCAAGCATTCTGTATCATTTAACATAATAGGAATTCAACCAGGAGCACTTCAAAGAAGCAAAAAAGAAAGAGGAAAATGAAACAGATTTATCAAGCAGAATCAGGAAGACAGAAAAATATGAAATGAGGATGAGTGGTTGTCATGGTTACTTACGTTGTCAATTCTCATCTAGTTAACAAATAATAGATGAATATGGATGAAAGATTCATAGATGATGGAAAAAGATTCATATATGATGAGTGAATTTAACGAGAAACATGTATTAAAATAAAACGAAAACAGGCTGTGTTTGTCCCATAACTTTAACCCTAACTCCCCAGCATAATTTACTAGGAACCGTACCCATTCTGGCAAATTCCAACACCCACATGGGAAATTGTACACACACACTGTTGGACTTAGTTTCTGGAGGTATGCCAAATCCACTGTAAAAGACCATCTGTTTGGGGGTACTGTACCTATCCCAACAGATTTTAACAAAACCTGCTGTTGATGGGTTGAGTTCGGTTAGGGTTAAAGATGGATTCCCGTGCTATCTTTGGGTTTCATCCCCCCAAAATAGATTCCTTTTCTTAATTGCTGTTTTTCAAACAACAAACGCCATTCACTTTTGAATGAGATATCGACCGAAAAAAATCAACCCAAGTTTAGTTATTGAATTATTACTTTATACATTTTGAATTATTGGCTGCAAGACAATACTTTCGTTCTTGTAGGTAGGCTGGTTCCCGCCCCACAATCAGTATCGATAATGTGTGGACCCGGAGGCAGTCTGTACGCGAATTGGATCTGCTTGCGCCAAAAATAAAAAACTCTTTTATTTTCACAGAGGATTGCAGACGTCAAAAAGGACGGGAAAAAATGAGTTATTTTGGTTGGAATAAAACATACAATTTGAAAAATTATTCAGAGATTGAAAATGAATTTGTTGAAGAGCACGAAAAACACAACTTTAATATTAGATGTAAATGCACATTTCAGCTTATACAAAAGCAAAACAAAAAAAGTACACTGCAATAATGAGCAGCAAAAAGGTAAAGAATTAATTAAAACAATTTTTGAAAACAATGAAAGCTTACTTTTCTTGTGCAAATTTTATATCAGATACAAATGATAACAGTTTGGTCAGATTTCGATGTAAGTTCCGTTCATACTTAGCGAAAAAAACGTGTACATGTATTTGTGGTGAGGTCAAAAATTCATAGTTACTTTTACAATGAGCATGAATGGATATTTGGCTAAAACGAAACATGTTTGCTGTAGATTTTTGGCCCATTAGCACCTGTACTGCATTGTACTACATTGTATTACATTGTATCACATTGTATCAAATGTGTTACATTGTATTACATTGTATCACATTGTATCAAATTGTGTTACATTGTATTACATTGTATTACATTGTCTATGATGTTTGGTGGCTTCTGGCGGTACAGGGAGTAATATGCAGGGTGGTTTAGGGCAGTACAGGGTCTAGTGAGTCAAATAAGTCACAAACAAATGTTCAAAATATGAACTTTTCAAAAATGAAATTTTATACGAATGACATCTGCAATAGAGTGAATGATGACAAGAAGCCGGTGAAATAGAATGATGAAATGATGATGAGCAAGATTTATTTGCATTTTGGATAAATTTCTGTCAGGCTTGTCCAACTTACCATGTCAGTAGCGTTGGAGTCTGCCTTCAATTTCAGCATGGTCTCACAGACTTGGAGTTGACCGCACTGGGCCGCCATGTGAAGTGGTGTCTTCTTTGCCTAGAAATGAAGCATATTTGATGTTAGGAGATGTTCGTTGTGAAAGTCACCAGAGTTGAAACATTCAAACTTCAAAGCATGAAAACTTGACACGTCACAAATTCACATTTGTGTTTGCTCTCATGCAGTGTATGAACGGCCTTTAGAAAGTTCAGTGTCTTCTATGCCTAGAAATGAAGCATATTTGACGTTAGGAGATGTTCGTTGCAAACTTCACCAGAGTTGAAACGTTCAAGCTTCAAAGCATGAAAACTAGACCCGACATCACAAATTCGCATTTGTTTTTGCTCTCGCGTATAAGCCGCCTTTAAAGAGTTCAGAATGGACTTACCAGTGAGAGGGCATCGATGGTAGCATTGTGAGTACCAATCAGCAACTTGACCAGCTCGTTGTGACCGTTCTGTGCTCCTAGGTGCAGCGGCGTGACGCCCAGCTTGGACTTGGCGTTGACGAAGGCTTTATGCCACAGTAGGATGTCTGCATTTTCCTTGTGTCCGTTCTCCGCGGCCAGGTGGAGCGCTGCTTTGCCGTGCTGTTAGATGTGACGACAAACAAACAAACAAACCAACAAACAAATAAAAAAACTCTGAAATGAACTCTACCACCTCTCAGTGGCAGAAACAGCAAAACATCAGGTCTAGTGCTTAGAGTTTGTGATTCATAATTAGGGGGTCTGAATCCCACTGCTGGCTGTACGTTGTGTCCTTGGGCAAGCCACTTTACCCCAACTTGCCTCTTTCCACCCAGGCATATAAATAGGTACCAGCATTAGCTTTGTGATGGACTTGATATACCAGATATTGAAATATTTTGTGTTGTTTGGTTCTGAGGAATACAACATGGTATCATCATCAAACATTGGCCCGATATATTGGTTGCACTAATTCATGGGAATCACATGACATCTTCTCGCCAACGGAAGCCTCAGAGTTCTTGTCTCTCATCAGGCTTCTTCAGACTTGCAAGCTACAAAGCCACGGATGCTTTTATGGGATCTTGGTTTCATTACCAGAAATAATAATAACAAGGTTTCATTTTTTTCAGGACCATCATATACAAACCTCGTCGAAAACATCAACTCTGGCGTTGTTTTGCAGGAGAAGTTTGACAATGTCAACATGGCCTTCTTCACTGGCGACCAAGAGTGGGGACCAGCCATTCTAGTAAACAAAACAAAACCCCCCCAAAAATGTAATTAATAACGTTTACAAAAACTGTCCAAATTGCTCAAGCTTTGAAATTACAGAACACTTGGTCAAATACTGGAGGATAGGGTTGGACGCACAACCAGTTGTGTTATATCCTGTGGCTATTTGAACAAATAAGAAACACTAACTATTGAAAATAGACACAAATGATTGGATGAATACAAGGTCACCCCTAACATTTATAATTATTATTATAAGGTAAGCATCGAGGCTGTTTTATACGTTAAATGAATACAAATCAAATTTTGCATTTTTGCATTTACAACATTCATGGCGAAACTCGGGAGTTGAATTGTGTTCAATGTTTAGCGTTAATACTTCTAGGAAGTAAAACTAAATTTGCCTTACTGCTCACTTTTGTAATTAAGTATGATTTGACTATTAGAATGATGACCAATTATCAAGCTTGCAACTGGGAAAATACACAAAAAGAGGAAATTCCATGCTTTACAAGACGTTATACAGTGCTTTTCAATTTTTATTGGTATAGCGTGAAGTGAAAAAAGAGGAAATCTACTGATCTGAGGAAATGCTGCATGCCTGAATTATTATGTGATCCTAGGTAGGTAGGTTGCCATGATTACCTTGCTCTGCCTGTTGACCGCCAGCTGTGTCCTGTTAGGTCCGAGGTGGTTCACCATTTTAATCATGATGTCGTTATTGCCGGCTCTAGCGCAGTAGTGAAGCGAGGACTCTTGGGTCTGAATGGACGTGCACAGAACATTGAATTATATTTCATATTAAAGTCTTGTTCCCCGTGACCTTCAGAAAATTAAATTGTTTTCTATTTAACAAAAATTTCAACACATCTGCACCCCTCTAAAAAATGTTTTTTGTTTAAGGCGCAAACAGATCCACTTTGCAAGCAGACTGGCTCCCAGTCCGTACATTATCGATGCTGATTGTGGGGTGGGAACCAGCCCACCCCGCAGGAATGGAATTGTTGTCTGACAGCCAATAATTTGAAACTGTAAAGTTATATAATTCAAAACTAAACATGGGCAGATTTTTTTAAGGTCGATGTCTCATTCGAAAGTGGATAACTTATATATTTATTTCTAGGAAAATAGGAATTGTTTTTTCTATCTTTCAAGGTGAAACTCAAAAAATAGCATGGGGAACGCATCTTTATAGACCTTTCTTTTGTTTGTAAACATTTGTTTGTAAACATTTGTTTGTAAACATTGAGAGCCATTCTGTATGGGCTACCGCAAGGATATGAATTTAAGCTGAGGTTGGCAACAGATTTTGCAAAAAAATGCATATCAACACAGTCATAAAGTAAGAAAGGGGCAGTTTCAGGCCAAGATTATTACACTGTATTTTTTTTAAACGGGGTGATGTAAATCCAATTAGGTTTTGCCCTTCACCGACGTATAGACACTGTATACTCAGTGTGTTACCTTCCGAGTGAAAGTTGGAAAAAATCACTCGGGTGGGACTCGAAACCCACGTACATCAGATTCAAACCAGCCAACCGATCCCGTTAGCGCGGTGGTTGAGTGGTAAGACATCTGCACTAGAAAGCAGGAGGTCGCGGGTTCGAGTCCCACCCGAGTGATTTTTTTCCAACTTTCACTCGGGAGGTAACACACTGAGTATACAGTGATAATACGTCGGTGAAGGGCAAAACCTAATTTGATTTGCGATACGTACCAGTTTGGTTATGAGGTTGATATCTGCATCATACTTCAGTAATAGCTCCATAATGTCGGTGTCCTCCCCAGAGTAGTGGATCATCTGTTTAGTGATTTCAGCTGCATAGTGAAGTGGCGTTTCCCCTTCCTGAAAGATAGAAAAAGATGGACAAGGTTTCAGAAATCGAATGACTACAGGGTGTCCCCCCAAAAAGTTGTGCAAGCAGATATCCTTTAATTTCTCTGTTTAGCATGAGTATGTCATCTTGATGGAACATATTAATTATACTCTTGTGTATATAAAAACCAGAGATCTAACAGATTGTAAAAAAGCTATGGGTATTTCACCCATTTCGATGGGATTTCACAGTTAGTGATATCAGTGCATCAGATTGTCATTGGCCTTTTCCCTCTGATGTAAATAAAGTTAACTGTGTAAATCCCATCCCATTGGAATGGGTGAAAAACCCATAGCCTTTTTATAATCTGTTAGATCTCTGGTTTGCATGAACGGATTTCCAAGGCATTTTCACTGATACACAAGAGTATAATTAATATGCTCCATCCAGATGAAATACTCATGTTAAGCACTTTTTGAGAAATTAAAGGATATCTGCTTGCACAAATTTTGTTTTGGGACACCCTGTATAACAATAAATTTAGGAAGTGTACACTGATGTCATTGAAATCTTGCCTGCCATTCAGGTAATGTACACTGATGTCACTGAAATCTTGCCTGCCACTTCCTGCATGGAGTCAATTGGGGGCAGCAGACTTGGTTCTTGTACTCACCATGCTTTGCTCATTGACTGCCATGACGGCGTCCAGACGTGACATTTCATTGTGCAGGAATTGTATGATCTCCTTGACGATGGGATAATGCGAACGCCGGACAGCGATGTGAAGAGGATTCTCACCAGACTGGTATAAAAAAAAGACAGAAAACCTCAAATTATTCTAAATATTTCTTTCAAATACGCAACATGTCTCCTAACAATAGGCCAGTTCGGTATATCGATGAAGTAGTCTATGTCAAAGATAATTTGGAAAATCGCTGACGTGATGATACGCGGTGTTACGTGGGCGCCCATTCTGCTTATAATTGACCTATCGCCATTTGCGAGTTATCCACGCCCCTTAGACAACCCTATGGAGTTTTTGTACACTAAGTTTTGTTTGTCTCAGATTTTGTGCGTTCCGCGTCCATTTTTATATCATGTAATTGGACAATATTTCACAAGCGGCGTTGACGCGATTCTAATGCGATTCTACCGCGATAGGTCAATTTACATGCGAGCGTCGTGCGCCCGTCTCCATGCGCATTCAGGCGCCTGAGACCCATATCATTGTGCGCATGCGCAGTTGAAATACCAAATTGGTTTATTAAGCTTGATTTTTAATAACTTTGAAGTTGTATCCAATGATGTTCCTTTTTCACCAAAATACAATTCAATAGTGTGACTCTGTTGGACTTTTGGAGAACAACTTAGACAAGAGGATTTCGAAAAGAGGATTTTTACTGAGGAAAAACTCTATGTATGTTCCAATCACAAGTCAAATCACAAGTCCATCACAAGTCAAATCATAAGTCAATCACAACTCAAGTTACAAGCCCATCGCAAGTCAAATTAGAATCAAATCACAGTTAATCACATGTTTATCACAAGTCCATAACAAGTCAAATCATAAGTCAGATCATAAGTCAATCACAAGTCAAGTTACAAGCCCATCACAAGTAAAATTAGAATTCAAATCACAGTCAATCACATGTCTATCACAAATCCATCACAAGTCAGATAACAAGTCAATCACAAGTCTGTAACAAGTCAAATCACAAGTCAAATCATAAGTCAAATCACAAGTCAAATCATGAGTCAATCACAAGTCAAATCACAAGTTAAATCATAAAATTAAATCACAAGTCAAATCACAAGTTAATAACAAGTCAAATCACAAGTCGATTCACAAGCCCATCATACAAATGTACCTCAAATCACAAGTCCATCACAGGTACTGTTGCAAGTAAAGGGTGACAATTGTCAAACTATGTGCACTGCCTTCGAACAGCCCGTCACTTGCGACTGCAAGACTTATGACTAACTTGAGATTGACTTCTGAGGACTTGATAACTCGCGTACGTTGTGTAAGATTTGTATTTGTTACCTTTGATTGGCATACAGGATCCCCTCCTTCTTCTAGCAATGCCTGCATCATCAACAAGTGACCGTGTCTAGCTGCAGTGTGCATGGCCGTCTCACCGTTCTGGAGTAAAAAAATAAATAAAAAGTCACTAGACAACAAATGATTTACAGGGCACATGAAGTGAATTCTTCTGAGGAAAATATTTTGTGCAACATTCTACTTCTCTTAAATGCATGAACCATCGCCATTTCATAATCTGGGCTTTATTTTCAGCGCCGTTTTCACCACATACCACAAAGATGCAGTAGTGTAGGAATACCTTGCAACAATTTTAACATGTCTCCCCAAATCCAAGAAATCATGCGTCTGAAAAAGTGTCAATGTTTTTTTTTACCACCCTGTACATCAAAGACTTTTCCAAGTCCTTACCCCCATGGCTGCATTGACATCAGCTCCACTCTTGAGCAGCATCTCCGCCACTTTCTCCCCTTCCTTGATACGAGCTGCAATGTGAAGGGGCGTTTCCTCAGCCTACAAAAAAGGGAGAAATGATACATCATGAATGTGTAGAGTTGGCTCGTACCCACTGCTTTTAATACCCAAGGTTTCTGATAAGCAGGCTCAATATGTACATTCACACAAACTTGAGTGAAATGTACCCATTGCGAGTTGCCTGCTGATACGTGTATGACCAATGCACAAACAGTCAATGCATGTAAGTGCAACTTCAATGAAATCTGAAACAGCTGCAGAAAGATAACCCGCTGCAGCGAGAGGGCGCTATCACGACCAACCAACATCCCCCATTGTCAGAAGCAACCTCTAGGCCAATTCGTATTGGCTGTGTAATGCGTGCGCACACCTGTTTGGCCTAATATATGCAGTGCGCAATTCAAAAAATTCATAGTAGTTCCGAAGCAAACTCTCAAATTTCTTAAAGTACAATAAAAGATGCAGCAAGACCTTTGTGCAACTTCACTTGTCAGCTCTTTTGTTAGGAGTAGTATCTGTGGAACTGAAAATGTACCGTAATTGCCTGCACAAGTCGGGCATGCCCACTAGTTTCCCCCATTTTTCCGGGGGAGATTTCAGTAGATACCCAAGACGTTGCTACTGACAAGTCCTTGGGTGATATTGGTTGGTCGTGATAGCGCCCTCTCGCGCCAGCGGGTTATTGTGGCGGTGGGTTATCGTGTATCAAACCATGCAACATCTAGCACCGATACTAATTCAACACAGCAGTGGGTACCGCAACCAATGAACTAAAGATAAATGAAGCTAACACACAACTGACCTTGCCTCCTTTGAGTTGGACCTGGGCACCGTGACCCAGTAATGTCTGTACAACCAGGGGTTTGCAATGCTGTACTGCTATGTGTAACGCTGTGTAGTTATCCTGCAAGAAAAAACACACATGAAAAAGGTTTCAAGATTAGTCATATTAAAGGCCAATGACATAACTTTTATTTTGGAACATATTTTGTGCAATTATCTCCTCTTTTTTGCATGAAAACTACTTTACATCCCTTTTTAGTTCATCTTATAAAAAAAAAATCCATGCTTTTCCTGACAAAATGAGCACGGAAAACACTGTTCCGTTTAGGAGTTTTCAAATCAAAGTGTGAACCCAAAATTTGGTTATTGAAAACATTTGTGAGAAAACTCTAATCATTGGCCTACTGTCATGCGCTAAAACAACGACGATTCATCAAAGACAAGAAAATTTACGACAGCAAAGTATCCAAAATTCAAATTTTGGTGCAACTTTTGCTCATGAATGTGGAAACTGCATTAGCATAAAAACCAAAAAGGCACCAAAATGCCCTTAAAAATGGCAAAAAGAAAATTGAAAATTAGGTTAAATAGGACACAAATACAAGGAATGTATACAAAAAAAATACATTGTAAACATGTTTATTTATACTTTAATTGTGGTAAACACTGCATTATTTTTGAAGATTTCTATATATTTGAAGCAATCTCCAACATCCAAAATTAAATCATGGGAGATTCAGCCATTAAAAAAAATATAACTTAAACCTATTAAAGACAATACTAGAAAAGAGACCTCGGATAAATATCCATACCTTTGTCTTGGCGTCGACCAGTGCTCCCTTCTGCAGTAATGACTTGACTACAGCCACGTGACCACGCTTCGCTGCTGCATGGAGACACACTGCACCAGCCTGGCAATTAACAGACACAATAACGGCTCATTACATTGTAATTCACAGACAATACACGATAATTACTGCTCATATTAACGGTTCAAGGACGTCTTCGGCACAAACAAAGTGTGCCAAAAAAAGAAGAAAAAGCGCAACATGCAGGAAACAAATAATGAAAAGTGTTTAAAGGGAATCTACAATATTTATTTCGCTGCAATTTTCAGAAATAAATGGATTTGGAGGATTAGTGTGTCAGTGTTTCCCCTGGCTAATGAACTGAGCGAGGTGGTAAAAATTCAAATTGATGATTGAAACAAAATGTACGCAGTCTGCAACTGAAAAGAATGCAGCGCTCACAAAAATGCGCGATGATTCCATCTACCCATCCAAATTGTGAGTTCTTGATACATAGAGATCAAGGAAAAGGCTCATAAATTACACCAAATGAAAATTTTTTTGATTAGTATTTCCTTTATTGCAAATGTTCCCAGTGAGGTGGTGATATTGGCAAAAATTGATCAAGGTGGTCACTGAAAGTAGCGAGGTGGGCCTCCTCACGTTTGAATGGGCAGGGGAAACACTGTAGTGTGTTGTAGCAAAATATTGTTAAAATGACTTGTTTCACGTTTTGGGCTTGTAGATGCTGAAAAATACTTAGAAAACCTATCACGTTCTTGTAGTCTGGTTCCCTGACCCCACTAAAGATGACCAGCGTTCCCTAACAATCCAGTAAGGTATTTTGTGATAATTTGATCATTTCGTTTTTTGTTGTATCTTCTCTTGAATGTTTTTTTTCTTCAATGAAATTATATATTACATTCAAGCCTGATTATTTCTCAATCCACTCCTTTTTACCCCATTCCATTTGGGTCCCTAGATCCAATAATACAATCAATTAAGTGAAAGGGCGTACATTTTACTTGGGCCACTCTCACCTCGACATGCTGAATCTGGGTTAAGCACTGAGTAGGCATTGAAGTTAGTGACATCACAGGTGAGAGTGGCCCAAGTAAAATGTACACCCTTTCATTTAATTGATGGTATTTCTGGATCTAGCGACCCAAATGGAATGGGGTAAAAAGGAGTGGATTGAGAAATACTTGTAGTCAGGCTTAAATGTAATATTTAATTTCACTGAAAAAAACAACACAGTTTTAATTGTTTGTTTTCTGAATGTTGCACTATTTTGGGCCCACGCTGTATTAACGGTTCAAGGACGTCGTTACATACAGTGTACATGAGTACATACTCTCCCCATGCTATTTTTGAGTTTCACCCCCAAAAGGTGTTGTTTTTAAATTGACATTTTTCTAGGAACTAAAAAACGTTAATCGGCTTTGAATGAGACATCAAACAAAATAAATATCCACCCATGTTTAGTTACAAAAAATTACCTTAAAAATGGTGGATTATTTGGGACCCAACAATAATTCAATTGTATATTTTTTGTGCATTATGGGTGCAAAACCGACCCCCCAAAAATTGTATTTTCAGAGGGTTGAAGATGTCCAAAATAGAAACAAAATTGTTTTTCCATTCAAACAAAATTTACAAATTGAAAATTTGTTAAGAGACGAAAAAGTTGAACAGCTGGAAGAGGGCAACAAAGCTTTGTATTAAAAATATTAAACCCACATAGCAATAATAAATTGGTAAAAAAATATTTAAAAAAATTAAAAAAAACCCAGAGAAAATGAATATAATTATGTACATGTACAGTGGAATCCGGTGACCAGAATGAGAAGCTTTTACTGTGGTGGTGTCACGCTCACGCGCATGTGCCCAGAGTGCCTGTGTACGACCTGAGCGCGACTCGCGCAAGCTTTGCGCCACTGCAGAGAATGACTGCCGCCGGATTTGTCTATACATGAATGATATTTGCAATTAACCCCTTTTAAGAGCAAGTTTGAAGCTTCCAGTTGCAAAATATTGATGACTTTGAGACAAACTACAGTTTGAAGAGAAAGCGATCTGGCTTTCCGGTAGATCTTTGAAATGGGAGATGCAACTCTTAAATATTTGATCATTTAATTCGTAATGGATGCAACACACACCAATTTAATTCCTTTGCTGTCGCCTGGCGGATGTATAAATCTTCTTTCAATAATTCAGGTTTTTAAGGAAACAAATTACGTTGTGATGTTCATTTATCTGGCAATTCTTTACAAAGGGAACACAATTGAACAAAAAAAAAAGAATTGACAAAAAAATTATAAGCCGATCATTACCTCCTGAAATATTATGACCTGTCGTCATGGAAACCGTAATTAATATCATGCACAATTGATGCCTGCTTTTCAGGTGGAAAGAGATAATTGAGTGGTTGTATTAATCTCCAATGAGCTACTGTCAATTTGTCAGTATCACAATGGGCTGCTAATAAAGCCACAACGAGGGCTAATCACATCAGGCCATGGCCTACAAAAATTCATTCTTCGTCAACACGTTTTCGTATAAGTGTGCACAAACTGCTGCATCTGTGCATTGGAATAATGTACATTTACATGCACATGTACATTTACATGTACATTGAAGTAAAGTGTCCTGCCTAAGGACTTGAGATGTACATACACAATGCATACATGTACCGGTATGCAATGTTTCTTGTGGGATAAAGGAACAAACAGAAAGTAATAATATGGACAACCGACCTCAAATGTCTGTCTTATTGAAATTTACATGTAGATGTTCCAGAAGGAAAAACACTATGGAGTTTGAGATTTTAATAGAAAAAGAGAAAAACAAAGGTAGGAAACAAAGGTTTTCTTAAAAAAAACATGTACCGTTATGTGTGTTTGCAGTGACTGCGTTGTGGGGAAGTTTTATTGTCGGCGAAATCAGGACTTTTATTGTCCTCCAGCATCTTTGGTCCCAGTTTAGGTGTGTGGTATCTTCTTCTACGAACATCAGCGCAGTCTCTTGGTTATAACAACAATTGCAGTAAAGTGTCTTGCCTAAGAACACAGCCACATGTTTAATGGGGGGGGGGGAGACCAATTACCTTATTTGGCATGTGAAGAGGCACTCCCTTTTTGAGGAACATCAGGGCGGTCTCTGGGTGGCCACATTGTGAGGCAACGTGCATCAGCGTACTTCCGTCCTTGGTTCTCGCTGACACGTTAGCCTTGAACTTGTCGACGAGTAACTCCACGATAGAGGTGTGGCCATTCTCGGCAGCGATGTGGACCGGCGACCGATCCAGCTGTCATGGAAATGGGGGAGGGTAGGGGGCGGGGTTAAGAAATGTGAGTTAATAATTCGTAAACTTAAACTAGCTCAGCTAAAGCAAATATTAAAATGAAATGGAGGGAAAGATTTAAATAATTGCAAGTTCATAACTAAACATCAATTTAACCCTTTAGTCACTGCGTGCCCGACGCCACCCTCCTGTTTCCTCAATGTAACACCCAAACATAGATGGTTTTATGGATTCTTCTGGGAACACAATGTAACACAATGTAGTACAATGTAATACCATTTAATGGGTTAGCAAGATTTTTTCACACTGATTTAATATCATCCTTAGATTGTTAAAGTAATCACTACAAATCTCTATTTTGTAAGTCTGTGATGAAAATAGCCTGACTATTGGATCATCCGCCCAATATCTGAATAGCATATTAGAATACTTGAAATGAGCCGTCTTAAAAAGATGACAAAAAACGTCCATGGTGTGAAACGATTTGTATAACATAAATATGTTGAGTGGGTTTGTTGCTTGTCAATTGCCATATTTTTGTGGACAGCTACTTTACATGCATGACTTGAGAACTTCTGTGAGGATTAGCCCTCATTTGAATCTTAAAAATCTGGTAAATATCTGCTAGGTCAACTCCTCTAACAACCATGTACATGTATATCAATACATACACTAGTGGAGTCTCCTTAATGTGGTTCACTTTGAATTTCCCTCGACTTTCATCATGCAGTGTTAAACCTCTCTGTTGAATTTTTTTTAATTCATTCAGTTATATACTGTTACATGTACCTTAAAAATGCTTGCTGTTGAGCATTTATGAACAATTTCAGTGTCATGAAATTCAGTCCGAAATGATAAAAAACAGTGGCTTCCGGAAATTGGGCAAATTCGGTCGAGTGTTCCCTAACGTGGCACACTTGAACCAATCTCGGAAAATCCCACGTTAACATTTAGTAATTTCTTCAAAGTGGATCAATTCTGATAAATCAACATTATATCCACTCACATACCCCACTACAAGTTTGTCAGAAAATTGTTTTCTTTATTACTGGGGTGCTTTTTAAAGGGTCCATTGTGCACTTCGTAGTAATAATCCAAATCCGAAAATCACTCCAGAATACAGAGTTGTAACGAGTCACTGATTTTTATGACTCGAGTCGAGTCGAGTCATTTTAAAGAAGTGACTCGAAGCCGAGTCGAGTCATTAGGTGAAGAAGGTCGAGTCGAGTCACAGAGTGTAGTCGAGTCGAGTCGAGTCGAGTCGAGTCGAGTCGAGTCAAGTCGAGTCGAGTCAAGTCGAGTCGAGTCGAGTGACGTATTTAGCTCGAGTCAATTCGAGTCACAAATATTTGAACACTATACAATAAATACACAGAGAAAGTAATTTTTTGGCTTTTTAAATTTTACATTCAGGCTACTACATGTGGCGACACCACATTTGACTCTTTATGAAAATGAAAAGGGGGTGCCAGCTGATCGCCATTCAACTAACGGGGACACTGATCAAACCACGTATGTATATGTATACAATATTCGTGAACATTCTAACGTGACGTGAACAAAAACCGGCACCGGCGTAAGTCATTGCAAATATTTTTCGCAAAGTTTTGCTTTTAATTTTGGGACTCGAGTCTTATTAGCCTTCCTCGAGTCGAGTCAAGTCATTCTGATGAGGGACTCGAGTCGAGTCGAGTCATTTGCTCGCAGTGACTTGAGTCGAGTCGAGTCTTTTGCCCTTAGGGACTCGAGTCGAGTCGAGTCACCAAAAAATGGGACTCGAGTCAGACTCGAGTCGAGTCATTGACTCGAGTCATTACAACTCTGCCAAAATAGAATTTCTCTGGAACTTTGTAGCGGGTAACGATACGTAAACTCAAGATTTATGAGCGGGAATGGTTAAAGCTTGGTGAGATTTCACTTACTGTGAAAGTCGAGGTAAAACTTTTGCTCTAGGAAGGCACTAGAGGCAAAAAATCAAAGTGCGCCACGTCCAGTGCTGCGTCACGTTAGGGTACATCAACAATACCGGTACATGTTCATGATATTCATAATCTTGTTAACCTCAATTTCAATGTTTCAATATTCAATCAAATCCAACTTCTATTAATCAAATACTAACTTATTCAAAAATGCCTGAAACTGTCTGATTGTTAAGCTATACAAGGTGAGTAAAAAAAAAATAAAAAACGCAGCCCAAAATGCCAGGACCAATTTTTGAATGAAGTTTTGCCTGAAACACTTTCAAAATCTAGGATGTGAAAGCCAAATTAATAAGTTTTTTTAGAATCATTCAAATCACTCATGTACTTTTCAACTTACCGCATTTTGAACACAAACACCGTTTTAAAGTTCTGTCCACGGACCATAAAAAAGATAAGTGTTCTTTCAGCAAAACGAAAACAAGTCACATGCATCCCTATGAGAATTTGTTTTCGTTTTGCTGAAAGAACACTTACTTTTTGTGTGATCTGTAGACAGAACTTTAAAACGATGTTTGTGTTAAAAATTTGGTAACTTGAAAAGTACCTGATTGATTTGAATAATTCTTATACTACAAGGAAGCTCATTAATTGGCCTTTCATATCTGAGATTTTGAAAGTGCTACAGGCAAAACTTCACTCAAAAATTGGTCCTGCCATTTGGGTTGCATTTTTTTTTACTCACCCTGCAGATAAAGTCTACAAGCTTTTGAAAAAGGCCGTAGCTTGAAATGTACCGGTATGTAAACCCCTCTTTCAACATACAGTCTCAAAAAAATGGTACAATCAGAAAAAAAATTGGTTAAATATGAAATTTCAAAATAAGTCATTCTTACTTGGCATAATATTAAAGAACAAAGACTGGGCTTTCCAATAGTGTTTGTTTGATCTTATTTGCTTTTGTCAATTCAGAGATATAATCAATTTAAAGCGATACACCAAAATCGATTTTGTGCCACTTTTATGCATGGGCAGAGTTGTTTCGAGTACTGTGCCATGCTGTCTTGAAGCTCACAAAAGATTGCAACTTGGCAAAAGAAACAAACTCGATTTTTGTGTTCCGCAGTAAACTGGAGTTATCTCTGAATTGACAAAAGCAAATGAGATGAAACAAAAAGTATTGGAAAGCCTGGTCTTTTTTCTTTAATGTGATGCTCAAAATGACTTACTTATGTTGAGATTTAATATTAAAAAAAAAAAAATCGTTTTCGATTGTACCATTTTTTTTTAGACAGGCTGTACATGTACCGAAAACCCACATACACGTACATAAATGTACGGTACATGTACATGTACAGTTTGCCAGCTTTGGCAGTAAAATCAATCATAAGGTTTTACAATGTACCTCCTCCGGTAATCGTTTTGGGAATGGACAGAGATAAAGCAGTTACCGTGGCAACGTGTACGGCAACAGGATAAATACCACTTTGCGGTACAATGTACAACATACACTGATATCTGAGTAATGTTTTATGAATGACTTTCGGTTCCGTTTCCATGGTGAAATGACTGGAATCGTGTAAACAAATAAAATCATCATCCTGCTCCATCTGATGTTTCAAAACCATTGTGTGTGGCTTTTCTTTTCTTTTTTTACAAAATGGGTTTCAATTCACAGTTTTTTGTAACTTAATTCCGTACGTTGCGGGTTACGTTTCTGGGCAGGCATGTGGGCTAAAATGTCTAGACTTTGGAAAAATTCTTCTGGGATAGTATTTACAATGTACATTGTAAGTGTAAACTCCAGAGTATAGTATGGTTGAATTTTCCGTTGGGAAAATAACTGTATACAGTATGTAGAGTGGATGGATCTTACAACAGTTGGCATTCGATTTAATTGAAGCAGACACTTTTTTTGTGTAGCACCAGATTTGGGCCTAATTTGTGAACCACAATTTAAAGAGGTTGTGGAATGCTTGAACACATTTCCGTCATTTTTCGGGTATATTTAGCCTAAGGTGTGATAAAATAAAAACGACTATTGTGCCTGTCATGAAATGAGTACAAAAGGTACTTTTGAGAGCTGTTTTTCAGGTCCTGTTTCGACCCGAACGTGCAATTTGTGTAAAAGTCGTCGTTGGGGGCAGCAAACAAAACATAGTAAATCGTGAAGAATAAACGAGTCCTGTTTATTACGTCACAATTTACTATGTTTTGTTTGCTGCCCCCAACGACGACTTTTACACAAATTGCACGTTCGGGTCAAAACAGGACCTGAAAAAACAGCTCTCAAAAGTACCTTTTGTACTCATTTCATGACAGACACAATGGTCGTTTTTATTTCATCACACCTTAGGCTACATATACCCGAAAAATGACGGAAATGTCTTCGAGCATTCCACCACCTCTTTAATAGTTACAATGTATTTCCTTAACCCTAACCCCTTGAGCACTTTTACTAGAAAGCATCCTGAATCCGCCAAAATCCACCTATTGTGTCGTGCACAAAATGTTGATGTTGGTGACTGCTCAGTATGGAGGTGTCCTAAATCCATCAAAATCCTGCAGTATCGCTAGGCTTACAATCCTGAAATCCATCAAAATCCCTGTTTTCAATATGGAGGTATCCTGAATCCGTCAAAATAATCAATAACAGGGGTGTGTGATTTTGATGGATTCAGGTACGTATTGGTGGGGTTAATGTGCCAAAAGTTAAAAAAAAATTCTTTGGCTGATCCTTGTTTTTAAATATTAAAACTCAAAATTTGATTTCAGTAAAGAGTATGAATTGGGCCCCTTCCTCTAGAACTTTGGTCTTGAACATGTTGAACTGGGCATTGGGCTGAAGCAAGCTTTCAGCAGAACAAAATTATGCTCTAAAACAAATGAATTACATTAGTTCTATAACTTTTTTAATATTTAAAAAATTAATTCTTGAATTCATTACCACATGGGTTCTAGAAGTTAATTCTGAAGTGTTAAATATATCCATCAATCACTAACAACTTAGCCCCGAAGAGTGAGTTGGAATGAAGATTTGACTTAACCCAAAAACCAATCCGGGCATGCTGTAAATTCTGCGACGAAGCCCCCTCCAATGGCGAAAGCATTGTGCTAGGTACTGTTTAGATAATCCTTCACGGGCAGTTGCTTTGTACATGTACAATAGCATGCACAATGTGGTTCCTCCATTGATGGGGGGCCTCATGAATGTATACAGTGTTCACGTTCCCGGATTTGTCCACAGAGTCGGACAAGGTTTTGAAGACATACCTTGTCCAGTATGTTGGCGTCAGCCTTAGCCAGGTAGAAATATTTCAAGGTGGTTTCGTCTCCGACCCAAGCAGCGATGTGAAGTGGGGTGTGCCCTTCATCCTAAAATGGGGGAAATAACGATGAGAAAAAAATGCAGATTTAGAGTTACTTTTAGAGTTAACAATTAGAAACAGGGAGTGTTTGGGGGAAGGATGTGACTTTGCGTTTAATTTTGGAAATGTAACAGCAAATTTGTAAAGAACTGTTTAAAGGGAATATATACAACATTTGCAAACATCGAAAAATAAAACTACCAAGTTTTTACGAAATGCCTTACAGGATGTTGGTAAATGACAGTCTAAAGCATCCTGTAAAATTATGGCACCTGGTGTGCTGACATTTTCAAGAAAATGGTATTTTTGCATACATTTCCAATGGTGGTCGGTCGACCACCGTTGGAAAAACCTAACTATTTTTCAACTTCTGCTCCAAATTTACCATTTTTTTTCAGTCCAAATTTTGTTTGCTATTGGTTACATGTTCATGAACAGGTGCAGGCCAGCTAGACTGGTTCCCTTACCTTACAATTTTCCGGCATCTATAAATTGATCCATTTGATCTTTAGTGGAGTCAAGGAACCAGACTACCTAAACATTTTTGTTTTTCTTGGTGTTTCCAGCATTTTCGAACACAAAACTTCAAACAAGTCAGTTAAACAATATTTGATGTATTATACTAACCCCTCAAATACTTCATTTCTGAAAATTACAGCAAAAGCCAACGATGTACATTCCCTTTAAATATTTAAATGTTTAGCCTTCCACAAAGGTTGACGCCTAGCCATTATGTCTGCAGACTGGAATGACTGACATGATCAATCAACAATTTGTCATATTCAGAAATAGATAAATTGGGGGGTTAGTATTTATGTCAAATATTGTTACACTGACCCTTTTTGGTTTTTTTTGCTGGAAAACCAAGAAAAAAAATGCTGAACTTTCTTATAGTTTGTTTTCTGACTCTAAGTGGATTTCAGACGAAATGGAGCAAATTATAGACATCAGGGAATTGTCATGCCAGGAACCAGACTAGCTGGCTTGCTGCACCCGTTCACGGATGTGTATTTAAACCGAATGCAAACAAACTGTGGACTAACTAAATTTGGTAAATTGGCGGCAGTATTTGAAAAAAAAAAGTCAAACTTTTGGAGGGCTTTTGTGGATTAGAGATGGTTCCTAGCAAAAAGAGCCTTTAGGGTACGGGTTAAATCAATAACGAGGATGACAACAAGGCCTTTTATTTTGTTTTGTTTTGACTTCAAAATTAAATAACTGACACAAAAAAAAGACGTCAAGGGAGGTCTCATCTACCAGTACATCGCTGTTTTAAAAAAAAATCAATTAATGGGACGGCAATAACACCTGTCAGCCTAACTCATTAACGCTGCCACGTGGTGTGCTGTCTAGTGTGAGACTTCTCACACTCTGTGACAACGTCAAACCGATCATTGAAAAAACGTCAACTGGACAGGGTAGTCCAGGGTCAATCAATATGGACACGGCACCTAATTAAAAGACCTTTAAAGATGCATTCCCCATACTATTTTGTGTTTCTCCCTGAAAAAAATCCTTTTCTACATGTATATTGCTATTTTTCTGAAAATACAAAAGTTATTCACCTTTGAATGTGACACTGATCGAGAAAATTGGCCCACGTTTAATAAATGTTACAAATGTCTAATTACATGTGTACCAGCGACCCAACAATAATTCGGGCGATTCACAATGCAGTGCGCCACCAAGAGTTTGCCACGGACAGTTAATTTTTCCCAGTGCATTGTGGGAGATGGTCGACAAATTCGCAGCACGGGACATTTGAAATTGTTAGTTTTTCCGGCCAGAAAGTTGGAAAAATATGATTCGAATATATGTTTGCCCTTTTCTTTTCTTTTTATCAATATGGAGTTATTTTTGTAAAGCGGCAGAGCGCTATGCCCCAATCTATAACAAATTAGCACAAGTTTTCTACTGACACTCGTTCAAATGGGCCATGTTTTGTCGACCGTAAACTTGAAAAATGAACTCTCCATGGCAAACTCTTGGTGGCGCACTGCATTGTGAATCGCCCGAATTTTGTTCTCACGTGGTAGATTGGTTCTCATACCACAATAATCTATGGACTGTGAGCCAGTCTGCTTGCAAGGCCTATCTATTTGCGCCCAAAATTAAAACCTTTTTTTCAGAGGTTTGCAAACGCCAAAAAAAACCCACAAAAGAATGCTTTTGTTTTATAGGAGAATACGCAAGAAAGTGTGGATTCGTAATTTAAGAATTAACGAGGCACGAAATGCCGAGTGAATTCGTAAATTAAGAATCCATACTTGCGATTGTATTCTCCGACTTAAACCATTGTGTCAAAAGAAGTATTGTCATTAACAGCCACGTGAGTGGAGATGAAAAGACTTGCATGTCTCGTGTCGATTCTGGCCAGTGGGGTAATTTACTAGGGAGTTTTTCGAGGCTCTTATACGTAATCAAGCATTGTGGCGTGTTTAGCATGTGTATCGCCACTCCCGTACGGCCAAGTCATTTTGTGTGTAGGCTCCTTCCGTCAACATTGACAGTTCAGACGACGATTTCTTTCTGACTCAAAGTAGCTGTTGCAGTGACGGCGGAGAATCTGACAGTGAAGATGCATTGGTAATTTCGAAAGGGAAGTTTTAATGCAGATGGTCCTAATAATCGGGAAATATCCTTACATTTTGAAGGTTGACGCTAGCCCCACACTCCACCAGTAGCTTGATGAGATCCGGCTCCTTGCGTCGACAGGCTGCGTGGAGCGGGGAATCCCCCGTATCTGACCTCACCACCTTGAGTTGCTCCTCACGCTGGTGAGTGAGTAGCTCCCGGGCCACTGAGATGTTGCCCGACTCGACCGCAAGGAAGAGGGGAATGCAACCATTCTGTCAAGACACCAAAAAAAAAAAAAAAAAAATGAAAAATGTTTGCCCATCTCAACAAAATGAGTCACAAGTCGCAAGAGCTACATGTACTTGCCTTTAGCCCTAACTCCCTAGCATGATTTACTAGGAACCATTCCCCTCCTTGCAAATTCCAACACCATATGGGAAACTGTACAGACACATATTTTTGACTTTGATTCTGGAGGTGTGCCCCACCCAATGTAAAGGACTGTCAGTTTAGGGGTACTGTACCCATCCTGACAGATTCCAACAAAACATGCCATTGGGGTTTGATGGGTTGAGTTCTGTTAGGGATAACAGGTTCCCCACAGAAATGTTGAAATGAAATTCCATGACTTTTCCATGACTTTTCCAGGACAAAATTGGGGTTTTCTATGACTAATTCCTACGCAGTTTGGGCATCTTGGGAGCCTATTGCTCTGGAGGCAAGGGACACCTCTCCCTCTCAGCCTTCCAGCTTGAGTCACAAAATGAGTCACAAGTCGTAAGAGCTACTTTCCTTTAACAGGGTTCCCACAGAAATGTTGAAATGAAATTCTATGACTTTTCCATTACATTTCCAGGACAAAATTGGGGTTTTCTGTGATAGATACCGTACCTACGCTGTTTTGGCATCTTGGGAGCCTATTGCTCTGGAGGCAAGGGACACCTCTCCCTCTAAGCCTTCCAGATTGGCACGCAAGGCTATTGTGCACCACAAATTTGAGTATCACAATGGTACATTGAACGAGCAAGTATAGAGCATGTACATGCACAAAGAGGAAGTACAGGTATAGTAAAACGGGAATGCAAACGGGTTTGTGCAGGATTCCATGACTTTTCCATGGCTTTTCCCTCCAAATATCATCTTGCTGCCATGACTCCTTGTAAAATAACGTGTAATTCCACGAATTTCCCATGAATTTCCATGACAGCTTTAAATTCCAGGATCATTGTCAGGATTTTCCATGACTACATGTGGGAATCTCATATTATTACAGTTCTAAGTCATCAGGAACAACCAGCCTCATGATTAATATGTATAAATTTAAGAAGTCCAACTGAGCGATATTTAAATTTAAAAAAAAAAAAATTTGGGCTTCACCGAGCATGTGGAAAAACAACTCACAATGAATGAGACAATCTGAATGTTGAGATGTTACAAGTAACTTTTCATTTATAGGCAACTCGGAAATATTTATTTTTTTCCACTGTATATATATTTTTTTATCTAGGTACTTTAGTAGTATATGTAGCTATATGAAGAAGTTCTATCACGCAAGTTTTAATATGTCAGCCTTTATAATACAGATCGGACACGTTTTCTTAGTAGATTATCGACAGAATATAATTGTTAGAAACTGACAGAAAAGTACGATCGAGAAACTCACAACAGAAAAACTTCTTAATAATCCAGTGCAGTGGTTAATTCTTACTGATTCTTAAATAAATGATGTCAGTTGTCTACAAAGGTCTACATGTACTTTAAAAAAAAAAAAAAAATCGAATTTGGGATTGGAAGAGTGGCGAAAATCTCATTAGATTGTTTGTACTAAGGTAGGCTGGCTTGATTTAGGTTGAATTTACAATGTATGTGTAATGTACATGTAGAGTCCTTTTCCATGTTTTGTTTCTCTTGAATGTGGTTACAACGCATTTGATCACTCATTGAAACACATTATTAGGTTAAATTCATCAACACTTTTCATTAAAGCTTACCGCATCTTTCGCTAGCCTGGCATCCTTTCCCGACGTCTTGAGCAGCTGCTGCACTTGCAGTAAACCACCACTGGTCCTTGCTGAGGCCATGTGGATGGGAAGCTGATTTGCAGGCTAGTGCAAAGAAAAATTGAGGAAAATATAGAAATTTTGACTTTCAAGATAAAAGAAAATGTTAAACACTAAGTGTTACAATATTCAAACACAATATTTAAGCACCAATTCTCACTGTAAAAAGGTTGGATAAAACACTGTTGGGCAATGTAATTTACCCAGCATTGGTATGAAATTACTTTATATTGGGTTGAATTGGGTAAAAAACTGTCAACTATTGGGAAGAATTTGCCCAAGAGTGTAGGCAGATGATAATTCGACCAGCATTGGTCAAATTATCAACCCCTTTTGCCCAACTTTTTTACAGTGAATGTGGAGGAGGGGGGGGGGGGGTTGATACTCCCCCCCCCCTCCTCCACATTCACTGTAAAAAAGTTGGGCAAAAGGGGTTGATAATCTGATCAATGTGCTGAACGCGCTCTCTGCACACGGCCTGCTTGCGTGTGACTTGCTGTATGTGTACTTGGCTAAAACCAACAGCAAGGCTGTCCAGCGAATAAAATTTCGGGAGCAAAAATTGGGTAAACCTCTCATGTAAAATTTCTCACTATGCCACTGTCAAGCAGCCTTAAACTGAAGAATGATATCGTAAATGGAGAATCAACTAACACTTGACAACTGCTAGGAAGGAACAAAACAAAAAACTCACATTTTTTATTTCTTTATTAAAATTCTTTTTGATCCTAACGGCAAGAAAAATTGCAAGGCTAAATACCAAACATTTAATTTCAAGGGTAAAAATAAATCTTCTGATATCTTCCCCCTCTCACGACACCCACACTGCCCTCCACAAAATTCCAGATTTTCCATTAGAAAAAGAAATCTGGTCTTTTCAGAATACAGGGTGAGTCAAAAAAAAAGAAACCCAAATGGCAGGACCATTTTTAAATAAAATTCTTTATTTAGCACTTTCAAAATCTAGGATATGAAGGCCCAATTAACAAGCTTTCTTTTATTTAAATAGTACAAGAATCATTCAAATCACTCATGTACCTTTTAAACACAACCACCGTTTTAAAGTTCTGTACACGGATCACAAAAAATGCAAGTGTTCTTTCACTCAGCAAAATGAAAACAATTCACACACGTGAGTTGTTTTTGTTTTGCTGAAAAAACACCTACTTTTTTGTGATCCGTGGACAAAACTGTGGTTGTGTTTAAATCCCGTAACTTAAAAAGTACATGAGAGATTTGAATGATTCTTGCACTACAAGAAAGCTTATTGATTGGGCTTTCATATCCTAGATTCTGAAAGTGCTACATGCAGAACTTCATTACAAAAATGGTCCTGCTATTTGGGTTTCCTTTTTTTTTTACTCACCCTGTATATCAACGAACGTGTTAATTTTTTTTTTTAAAGCCCCTTGTTTCATGCCTATTCTTTGGGTCATGTGCATCTTCAAAAGTCTCCAACTTACCCCTCCGACTACAGTCATATCAGCCTTCTTGGATATGAGGAGTTTGGTGATCTCATCCTTGGCCGAGGCGGCTGCGTAATGGATCGCCGTACGTCCATCCTACATTTAAAAAGAGGAAATTCAAGGATCATGAGGCACAAGAAGAGTAACCCTCCTACTTAAAGCTACAACCCATCATTTGCAGCTACACTGTATCCAAAAAGTAACTGACATAGGCTAATTATTGTTGAAAACAATACTTGGTTGAAAGATAGTAAGGGGACTAAACTTCCTGTGCAATTACTCTTTCTGGCAAGCTGTCATTTTGAAGAAATCAATAAAAGGAGGTCTTTCCAACGGTGCGTCTAACTGTTAGAAATTTCCATTAGTAGTTCATTTTGTTAATTTGGTGAAGCGTGTGTAAGCGTTGGCACGACGCATTTGTCAGATCTGTGCGCGACATCGCGTAGCTGCAATCGGCTCAGTGAGAACGTGTCTCAAGACGCTGAATTGAGGCCCAATTCAAAACATGATTCAGCAACTTTTGATTGAAATTGAGATCCTAGAATGCTGTTTTTTTTCTCGCTGAAACTTCAGCAGCTTATTTGTTCAGCACCCTTCTTTAGATCTTGAGCACTTTTGTTGCTTCAAATGAACAGAATGCACAAATTACAAATGATGGTGTGTACCTTTAAGACAGTCACAGACAGTCAAAAATTTCATCCGCTTCCCCTGCCATGCCTTTTACACAGGCTAATCACCAACAGTCAGATCATATTTCAAGCAAGCACTGTGACTAGTCCAATTCAGTCAACAGACAAAAGCAGACAAGTGATAGACACAACTGGCTTGTCAATCACCTACAGTCAAAGCAAAGCCAGTCAATCCTGCTTTATGTACGGTAGGCTGGGAGCTCTTAACTGTTGAAAACAGTCACTTGATTGATTTTGACTGAAAGGACAACTTCGTACAGATTGTATGTTTGTGTAAAGTGAAAGTGTGAAGCCTCGCTTTGGAGATCATTTGCAAATGGCGGATGGGGACACCGCCGACTAATTTGAGCAAAGCAAGTCAATCCTGCTTTATGTACGGTAGGCTGGGAGCTCTTAACTGTTGAAAACAGTCACTTGATTGATTTTGACTGAAAGGACAACTTAGCACAGAATGTATGTCTGTGTAAGTGAAAGTGTGAAGCCTCGCTTTGGAGATATTTGCAAATGGCGGATTGGGGCACCGCCGACTAATTTGAGCAAAACCAGACAATCCTGCTTTATGTAGGCTGGGAGCTCTTAACTGTTGAAAACAGTCACTTGATTGATTTTGACTGAAGGGACAACTCGGCACTGAATGTATGTCTGTGTAAGTGAAAGTGTGAAGCCTCGCTTTGGAGAGTATTTGCAAATGGCGGATTGGGGCACCGCCGACTAATTTGATTGTTTCTACTTTGTTACTCAGAATACTGATACATTTGGTGTTGCCGTGGTAACCATTTGCCGATGCAGAGAAGATTAACGGACCGTGAGCCATTACTAAGTAATTAATGGACTAATAACTACAGGTGGTGGATGGGGACTCTGGTCCATAGCGTGGAGCGCTCTGACGTACAGAATGAATAATTTAGTAACACACTGCATGTACATGTACATTGTATTCAGCTTTATAGTGCAAACTTTGCATATATATGTACAGGGCGAGTAAAAAAAAAAGGAAACTCAAATGGCGCCCCTTCTTTTGTAAAGAAGTTTATTTTATTTATTTATTTACTTCTTTCTTAATTTATCCTGGGTGATCCATTCAGTGAAAAAAACTCACTGATCTCCCATGGATCCCAGCTCACACAAAACTACTATTAAAATACAATTCATAAATACCTCAGACAGTTTAGCTATTCCTATTGGTCGAGAGCCCGTCACGTGGCCGGTCTTAAACGGATGATAAAGACATGGCTAGCTGGTCTTAAACACTTTTCCAGTGTCACAATAAAATGTGGACTCCTAAAAATCCAGTGCCTCTTACCGTTTCATTGGTTGAACGTTCACAATCCTCACGTAGGCATGCGCAACACTACAAGCGAGTCAGAATTTTATAGTTCTAAATTCAAAACGCAACGCCCCAGGTGCGTTCTGCGTGACATCGCGCAGAACATGTTACGCGCGCGTCAATCTCCATAAAAGGGTTGTTTACATCTTACTCGCCAGCTGAACACTCCATTATTTTGCTAGAGGGATGTTTCAAAAAGCATGAAGTGAACTTGTTGAACAAAATCGGGATTTTTTGAACGAATTATTTGATATTTTTTCAACGGATAAGGTATTTATGAATGGGAATAAATATGTGCTCGGTCGGTATTTATCACTCTGTTTAATACCGCTTAGAGTCTGGGTGCTGATAATTACCCTCGCCTCCGGCTCGGGTAATTATTAAGAGTACAATGTAAGAATGTTAAAAATTCATTTAAATAAACTTAAATAAAATAGGAATTACACAGATGATAAACAGATATTTACAATACAATACAAAACATCACTGCAAGATGACATCCCCCCACCCCTGTTTTTTTTTTTTTTGGTTGTTTTCTTTTTTTTCAGCTTATTTTCCTTTTTTTAACTGAGCTGTTTGAGTTGATTGACGAAGTGATTGAGACTTGCTGGATGCGGAATTTTTAAATGTTGCAGCCAAGCCTGGGCATCCCTGAAGTTAAAAGTTTTTCTTCCATTTTCTGTTCTAGGGAGTGGAAGAGCCACATTGCCAACAGTGCTATTCCTAGTTCGATGACAGTGCTAAATTCCTAGTTCGATGACAGTGTAGCTCACTGACTGGAACAAAAACTTCGCTAAGATAACTAGGAACATTGCCGGATAAACACTTGAGATCTAGGACATGAGATTGAAAGCCCAATTAATAAGCTTTTTTTTTTTGGTACAAGAATCATTCAAATCACTCATGTACTTTTCGAGTTATGGAATTTTGAACACAAACACAGTTTAAATAATTTTGTCTAACGGATCACATTTATTAAAGGTACGTGATATTTCATACCGTATGTTCTACATGTGTATTAATGTTGTCATTATAATAATGAATGAATTGAACGACTTGTGTTTGATTAAAATGCATCTGGGATGGGCTAGATGCATTTTTTAAGAATAATGTTTTCTCTTCTTTTTGCTTAGTCTGGTTTAGAACATTTAAATTTTTAATGTATAGTCTTTGTAAAATGATTTCTGTCATGTTTATTGTAAACCTCAATTGGACTGGGTGAATGATATATGAACAACCAAAAACCTTCAATTCCATTCAATTCAAAAGGGACAAGTCCTTTCATTTGAATGTTGTGCCAGTAAGATGGAATACGATTTAAGTCTATTTTTGGTCCCCAAAAAACTAAAACTTTGCCAACAATTCTGGATTTAAGGTAGTCATTTCTGTACCTTGTTTTTACATGCAAGCAAGACGCAAATATGTTAATTGGGCAATTCTACACTAATGGGCCCAAAGTGTGACATTTGAGAAGACCTTCAAGTTTTGATGATAAAACTATGATCTTGGTCTCTCAATTTTTGCTGTAAACACTGCAAGCTTCGAACAAATATCCTCACCTGCAAATGATAAAACTGGTTTTGTATTTTAGAAAGTATAGTGGATATTGTTTTAAAAAGTGTTACGTACATTTACGTAACGAAGGACAGACATTTTAGATAAAGTCACAAAGTAAGCATAAAGTTGAATGATTCCCTATTGTTGACTTATTTTAAGAAGATGTACCCTGGAGGAATGCTATCAGTCAAAACCTAGAAAACTCAGAGTCAGTGTCAAGAATTATTTGATATTTTATAATCAGGATTTATACGTACGAACAGACTGGACATTTGTCACAAAATGTCTGTCCCTGTTCGTACATAACCCTAATCACATCATAAATTTGAAGCCAGTGTGATATATTTTCGCTTGATAACAATGTAAAATGGCTTAATAATGTCACTGAAGTGCCTATTAGAAACTAAATTTGTCCTAAGCACCCTTTTCCTAGCAGTGTGTCTGTCCACGTTACATACGTATCACACAGAACAGATGCCTGTTTTTTCCTCAAATACAACAAGGTATCATCTTTTGTCTTGTCTTGTCCTAGTCACTTTCAACTTAGCAAGGTATAGGAAAAAACTGAAGAAAATACTAGCTCATCTTTTACCCTTTATACGCAACATCTATAAACTTATCTGATTGGCACATTAGTGTGGAAATGCCCTATTAAGAGTTTTTGTTTATTAGGAAGAGAAAAATGGTAATATTCTATGCCAAACGAGATTTCTGGTTTGATTATTAGTTTCTTGAATGTTTAAACTTGCAGCAAAGATTGGTCAACGAACAGTAATGTGAGTTACCGTTACGTGAGTTACCAAAATATATCCCTCTAGATATTTTAAGATTTATTATTTTTTAATAATTGTAAAGGTGGAATATAACTTATATCTGAACGATGTAAGGACACTAAAAATATTTTTTCATCAGTCAAAGTATGACGAAAACTTTCAAATGGAAGGTATTGAAATTTTTTCCATGTCCTTTTTGCATAACGCGAGTGACCGATAAAAAAAGTTATTGCCAAACCGATAAAAGTTTATTGTGTTGGCTTTTTTGGTTGTAGTTTAATCAATTAATTTTATGGGATGTTCTGTGAGAAAAATGTTTTGACTTCTTAGAATAAAAGTGATTTCTGTTTTAGCCTCTGAAGAAGAACTTGCTAAGTTCGCAACGTCAGGCCACATTAATTTTTAGATTAATTAAAGTAAAAAGTTGACGGAAAACCCCTTCTACATGTAACACGAGTTACCATGGAATTGCCCACATAGTTTAAAGACAGTACTGAAATGAAACAAATCATAAAGTTGTTAGAAGCACTTGAACACTTGATGGCATACTGTGTACCGGTACTTGCATGTTTGATATTTATTAATCCTTAAACACTTGTACTTAACTTTGTACTATACAGGGCGAGTCAAAAAGAGAGTGACCTGGATTAATTTTAAAAAGCTTTTTCTTGAAAGTGAAGAAACAATCAGACAGCCACGTTTAAATTACAATGCAAAAGTTTATATTAATTTAAGTGTTGTTAATGTTTA